TCCTTCTACTGCTGACCCGTCGCTGTTTCTTCGCACCGACACTTCCCTGCCGCCGTTCTACATCCTCGTGTACGTCGACGACTTGGTCTTTGCCACAGCGGACACTGCTGGACTCGCCTACGTGAAGTCCGAGCTGCTGAAGAGACACACGTGCACAGACCTGGGTGAACTGCGCAGCTACCTTGGCTTGCAGATCACTCGGGACAGAGCACGCCGCACCATTACCTTGACTCAGTCACACATGGTGCAGCAGGTCCTTCAGCGCTTCGGCTTCACGTACTCCTCGCCTCAGGCCACTCCTCTGCCTACTCGCCACTCACTCTCAGCTCTGCCTTCGGATGAGTCCGTAGAGTCGAGTGGTCCGTATGCAGAGCTTGTTGGCTGCCTCATGTACCTGATGACCTGCACACGACCTGACCTTGCATACCCTCTGAGCATTCTTGCACGCTATGTTGCTCCTGGGAGACACAGACCAGAGCACATGGCTGCAGCGAAGAGGGTATTGCGCTACCTGTGCAGTAAGTCGGGCATGGGGCTAGTGCTTGGAGGGCGGAGTCCAGTGGTCCTTACCGGCCACGCGGACGCTTCTTGGGCTGACGACCAGGCTACACAGCGGTCGTCACAGGGTTACACCTTCAGCCTTGGTTCCGGCTCTGTCTCGTGGCGGTCTACTCGCTCGTCTTCGGTTCTCGGCTCCAGTTGTGAGGCTGAGATCTACGCCGGGGCCATGGTTGCACAGGAGCTTCGCTGGCTCACCTACCTGCTGACTGACCTTGGAGAGCCGCCTCGTTCTCCTCCAGTGCTGTACGTAGACAACAAGGCCATGCTGGCCTTGTGTCGAGAGCAGCGCTTGGAGCACAGAACGAAGCACATTGCTCTCCGCTACTTCCTTGCTCGTGAGCTGCAGCAGCGTGGTCAGTTGCGACTTGCGTACGTGGCCTCTGAGGCCAACACTGCTGATGTGTTCACCAAGGCACTCGCGCCTTGTGACCATCAGCGCTTTTGCACCCAGCTGGGTCTTGTGCCTGTCTTGCCTCACTTGCTCTCCTCTTGACTTCACTTGTACTGTGACATATATATATACCTGCTCTTGCTTGTCTAGTTTTATATATATGTCTGTACTCCTGCATGTGAACTGGCCTCTGGCCCTGCTCTTGTGCTCGGACTGTGTGGTGACTTTGTGATCCACCCTGAGCTTGCTTTGCTTTGCTTGACTGGTCTTGTGACCCCTTGTTCTCCCCCACTTTGCCTATGGGGGTGTGTCAAACATTATATATGTTATGCTTGTGTAGGCTACAGTGGTTTAGCCTATAGGGGGTACACAGTTCTAGGGTTTCCTACTTGTACTCATTTCACTGCTAGTTCATCCATTCCTGTTCGCTTATTCTCACAGACGCCACGCTTTTACCGTATCTAGCTTCTTAGGGTCAATCTCAACCCCAGCCTCCGAAATGACGTGACCTAAAAACTCTAGTCTGTCCCGAAAAAACTCGCACTTGGAGCCCTTGGTTAATAACCGATGTGTCTCTAAAATTTTAAATACTGCTTCGAGATCGACTAAGTGCTGCTGCTGGTCCCGACTGTAAACGAGGATGTCGTCGAGGTAAACTATGACGCAGTTATCTACAAGTGGCATAAACGCCTCGTTCATGGTCATCTGAAATGTTGCAGGTGCGTTGGTCAGCCCGAAAGGCATCACTGTGTACTCGAATGACCCGTACCTAGTCCGAAATGCTGTCTTGGCGCAGTCCGATGATTCGACCCGAATCTGGTGGTAACCCCCGCGTAAGTCGATTTTCGAAAATACCCGTGCTGTTCGCAGCTGGTCGATCAGTTCGTCGGCGCGGGGGATGGGGTACCGCGATTTCACTGTTACCCTGTTAAGCGCTCGGTAGTCGATGCACATGCGAAATCCTCCGTCTTTTTTTGGTGTGAACAGTATCGGTGCGGCGAACGGTGACGAGCTCGGTCGAATAAACTGCTTCTCTAACAGGTAATCTAACTGCTTCCTTAGCTCGTCGAGCTCTGGCTGTGTCAGTCGGAACTGGCGCTGTACAGTTGGTTGTGCCCCCGGTTCTAACTCGATCCTATGGTCATGCGCCCGCTGAGGTGGCAGCCCTTGCGGTAAATCATCCGGAAAAATACCCGGGAACCGTTTCAGTAGTGCCTGCAGTTCGGGTGGTACAGCTGCCAACAGTTTCTGAAAATCGCTCGGCTGCTCCTCTTTTTCTACTAATGCTATATCTACTGCGTACACGTCAGCTCCAGCAGCGACAGCCCGTTTCATCGTGATGGCGTTGACCTGGACCGTCGAAGACTCGGGTGGCTGCCAGCGAGGTAGGACGACCCAGTTACCACTACTTCGCACTATGCAGCTACCCGTCGTCCAGTCAATTCGTGGGTTATACCGTCGCAGCCAATCACGTCCCAATAAAATGTCGTGCCCATCCAGTGTCGTTGCGAGCATTTCCTGTGTAAACCCCGAAGTTCCCTCCGCAGCGGACTTTTACGCGCTCCACCTTTTCTCGTATGGCCAGTGGTGTTCCGTCGACTAAGCGTGCGTCTATCTCCGGTAAGCATCGGTTAAGTGTTAACTGTAATTTCCGTGCGGTTGCGGTATTAACTAAGCTGTGACTTGCTCCTCCGTCAATAAAAATCTTCACTGCTGCTCCCTGTATTTTCCCGTAGATCAGTACCGGGCAATCCGTCGCTGTACCCTCCTTATTCATCCGAGCCCGATCGATGGTGTGAATCGGTACTGTGACTCGGTGAGGGTCGGTGTGGTTGGGCGAGCAGGCAGTCTCGTCAGTAGTTGGCCCAACTTCTACTGATTGCTGGCGTTTCCCTGCCTCTGAGACTCCCTCCCCTGCTCTGCTCCTCGGCGCCTCAGCTCCTCTGGGCATTCGCTCTTGCGATGGCCCGGCCTGTTGCAAGCAAAGCAGCGCCCCTTAAATGGTGCGGCAGCTGCATTTGTTGCAACGGCATGTACAGTGGCGTGCTCGGTCGGTCCCCGAGGGCGATGTCCGTAGTAGGACCCCGGTCTCGGTCGGCGTAGAATGTCGATCTTCTCGGCGAGCGCAAGAATCTCGTTGAAATTAGAGAGTCCGCGCAGCATTATTTCGTGCGAGATATCCGGCTTCAGCCCTCCGACGTAACGGTCCACCCGCTCCGCTTCGTGCATGTAGCCGACCTGCTCGCAAAGTGCGAGAAAACCGCTGGTGTAGTCTTGAACTGACCCGAGCTGGCGCCAAGTGCGCAGTTTCTGACGCGCCGAAATTGAAGCCGCGATCGGCTCAAAACGTGCCCGAAGCCCTGCGCACCACGCATCCCACGTGCTGTATTGGGCGGTCTCGCAGAACGAACTCCAGGTGACAGCTGGGCCCGAGGGCCCTTCCTCGTGCGACGGTGGCTCGTAGGCGCGTGGCGACGTCACGATGACTCGCCACCAGTCCATGGCGGGGCCCCTTAGCAGTGAAACCGCATACCGGATTTTTGCGGCGTCCGACTCGACGTAATTGGCGTCGAAGAAAACGTTCATCGTGAAGACCCACGATTGAACTGTCGGACCGCCGCGTTGACTTGGGTCGAAGCAGGGCGGGCGTTGCGGCTTGAGCGGCATTGGTGCCATGTTGGAGTGTTCGCCACTTGACGCCGCAAATTCCACGTGCCGACGGGCTTCTCGAGGCTCCCGTGGGCTTGGTGCGATCCTGTTTCCTCCCATGCCCGGCATCGGCTGGGCGGCGCCCTCACTGGCTGCGCCTGAGCGTTGTCCCGTGCTGTCATGTTGTGTTGGTGTGCCGGACGAGATTACAATCGGCTCATCCGAATGTGCAGCTGCGTTTGTTGGTGCGTTCATCGTAGACTGTTGACGGGCGAAGTCACGTTCCGCCGTGAGAGTCGCGATTTCGAGCGCCGAATCCTCCAGTTGACGCACGAGACGATCGAGTTGCTCTTGCGTTAATGTGGCGAGCGTGAAATCGGCCATGGCGGGGGTGTCGGGCAAGCTCAGCGAGAGCCTCGGTCGTGGCCGTGCGTGCTTGCGTGAGAGCACTACGAGCGGCGGCGCTGTATCGTTGAGAGACGTCTACCCCCCCCCCGAAAAATTGAGATAGTGGGGAAGCGAAGGTGTGGATGCGGTCCGAGATGGGATCGTAGGCTCTGAATACCAAGTGTTACGAGTGCAATTGAGGGAACGAACGAGAATTGCACTATCGAAGCAAGAGTCCAATGAGCGAAGGCATGAGCGAAGAATATATAGCGAAACTACAGTGGTAACGGTAATGGTCTGTGGTAGTCGCGCGACGAGCCTGGGACTGAGGTTTGGGAAAGTGTCGAAGCGTAGGCCCGGAGCGCGGGTTACCAGCCGAGCCGTGAGGTCGGGATGCGATGTGCGAAAATGGCGGGATGATTATCGGTGCGATGATCGCGAGTGGTAACGGTGCTGACTGAGGTGCTACAGTGATGTACGCGTTGAGCAGGGATGCGAAGTAAGGAAAAGGGAATTTCCTTACAGAGACCAACAATTCCAGCGTTCACAAAGTCCTCTTTCGAGGCAACTTTTGCGAAACTGAGCTTGCGAAACCGATTAGTAACGTCACACGCCTTATCCACTGGAGCTGTGACCTACAAACCTTCTTCCTCCATCATTTGGTCCCCGCCTGCTTTCCTAGCTTCCTGAATTAGGTATTGCTTGTTGCTGCTTTGCTTGCTCTGTTTTCCCTGGCAAATCAGCCATGGATGACCTAATTTAGGAAGCTTAGCGTCGTGTTCGCATCAGCTTCAGTGGTCTCTGCCTCGTCTAGGTTCTAGGCAGACTAATCTCTCTCGTGTTTTTTGTTTTCGCGTTTTCCCGATCGGGATCTGGTTTTTCACGGATCTCGTGTTTTAGGTCAGGGATATTTCAGCACCTGGTTTTAGGTATAGATTTTTGCAGCAGTTGCGATTATTAGTTGCGTGTTAGTTGGCTATCGCAACTCTGGATAGTCGCTTAGAGCAATAGCATGGGCGGAGAGGAAGGCGCAGCAGGCGCTGGCGCCGCAGCCTCAGCACCGCCTGGCGCAGGCGGAGGGGGAGGCGGAGGAGCTCCCCCAGGCGCGGGAGGCGCAAGCGGAGGCGCAGCAGCGGCTCCCGCGGGAGGCGGAGGCGGAGGCGGAGGAGGGGGAGCTGATTCGTACATTGGGTGTTTAATCAGTCTGACGTCTAAGAGCGAGATCCGATACGAGGGTGTGCTGTACACTGTCGATACGCAACAAGCCAACATCGCCTTGCAAAACGGTAGTTCTCTAAAAAAATATCTCTTTCGCCATTGTTCCCCCTCATCTTTCGTTCTTCGTGTTTCCTTCTTCCTATTTCCTTCACCCTTCGTCGGCATGTCCCGTGTTAGTCGAGATTCAGAATTTGCCCGTTGAATGGTTGTTGTTGTTTTTTTTTGGTTCGTTGTGCTTTTTTTTTCTTTCCTCTTTCTTGTTTTGTATCATGTAGCGTGCCCAGCATTTCTGATTTCTGATTATCATCTTGTGACGTTTCCAACACGCGCGTGCTCTGCGGCTCGTTCGTGGTTCTTAATTTCTGCGTCTTATGTATTTTTATGCCGTCATCCGTTCTTCTCGAGTTTATTCATTGAGCTACTCCTTTGTCTTCTTCTCCGCTCCCGTCTCTTGAATGATCTTGAATGATCTTGAATGCCCATCGTAGTCGATTCTGTCTTCCGCCGTTAACCCATTGTCTAGTGTCCAGTGCGCTTCTTAGAAACGGGATGTTTAAAATCTTGTTAGGATCCAAAACCGTGCCTTACGTAACAATCTCTCGTCGTTATCCTTTCTTTCGATGTCCAGTGCGCTCTTTTGGAACGGAGGGGCGAAAGAAGGATGGCCCGCAAATCCCGCCCAGCGACAAGGTCTACGACTTTATTATCTTTCGCGGAACCGATATCAAGGTGTGTCTAGTTACTAGGTTACGGCTGCACCGTATCTCGCAGAACCGGCTCCATTTTGCTATTTCGTTGGTGGTGCTCCCATTTCGCCCATCTTGAATGACGCGAGAGCGACGTTTTAGATCTGCTGGATTGCATGCGTCTGATTATTTTTTTAATATATTTTTTGTCTCGCGTTCGATCTTTGACTAAAATACCTGAAGCTTGTTGGCGTAAGCGCGTCGACTATATAGCTGCTTTTGCGTAATGACTGCCGTTTTTAGTAACAGATACCAACTAATGCGTCGAGCTTTTTACTTCCGAGCATGCTCTTTGTCTGTCCGTACTGTCGCAGACTTGCGTTTAGCTATTGTTAGCTGATTGCCCAGCTTCGTAGGTCCTGAATTGTGGGACACGTTGATTGTTGGCTTCCATTCAAAAGTTGGGTTTCCTTTTTCCGCCTGTTCGTTGTCCGATTTGATTCTTGCAGCTTCTGCCCGCCTCGTACCGCTTTTCGCCGCTTTCAATCTACTGGAATGTCTTTCCTTCGTTCCCTCCCTCCTGCCACCTGTTTCAGGACCTTCAAGTCAAGTCCCTGCCACGTCAGCAACAGGTATCGCCGCCCACGAGACTTAATCTGTGTGATGTTACCAGCTCTCTAAATTTACGATTTAAACTTCTCTCTCTGCCCACCCACTCCTTCTGCTTACAAGCTATTTGCATTTTCCTTCCCTCCGGTTACCCCGCCCTTTCCTCCCCCTCTTTCTCCTCCCCACTATTCCCACCCTTCCCCCCATCTATTCCCGCCCTTCCCCCCATCTCCCTCGCTCCCTCTCATCCCTCCCATCCCTCCCCTCACCCCCTCCCTCCCTCCCATCCCTCCCCTCACCCCCTCCCTCCCTCCCATCCCCCCCCACCCTCCCCTCTCTCTCCGTTCACTTGCACTTTCTCTTCTGTTTTGATCGCTTGGGGCTTTACCATCCATCTCGTCGTATTCCCTTTTTTAAGCCAGATTCGCTTAGTTTACCGGTTGTATGCGCTAAGCGTTATCTCCATCCGTGTCCTCTTATTTATTTATCTAGTCTATCTTAGTACTCAAGCTGAGCTTGTGATCCCCCTTATAACGTGTGATTTGCAATTTCGCCCCTCCCATCTCCTATCCCTTTGCCCTGTACAACCCCCACCACTTCCCTCTCCCTCCCCCCACACCCCCCTTACGCTTCCCCCGCCACAGGCCCCCCCTGCGCAACCCCCGCCGCCCGCGCCACCCCAAGCCTCTCCACCCCCCCAACCGCAGCAGCCTCCGCCGCCCCAATACCAGCAACCCCCGCCTTACCCCGGACCTCCCCCCCCGAACGCCTATGGCCTAGGTCCGCAGCACCCGCATTACCCACCTCCGCCCCCTTCGGCCATGTGGGGGGCTCCGCCTCCCCCGCAGGGGGGGATGATGGGGGGTCCCCCGCCGCCCCATGGCGGAGGGGGATATGGTCCGCCGCCCGGACCCCCTCCCCCGAACTATTATCCCCCGCATTGGCAGGGGTATTATCCGCCAGGCGCGCAAGGGCCCATGGGCGGACCTCCTCCTCCCCCTGGGGGGCCTCCGCAGGGTTATCCCCCCCACATGCAGCAGCAGCAGCCGCAGCAGCAGCCGCCGCAGCAGCCGCCGCAGCAGCATCCGGGGATGCCGCCCCAGCAGCAGTACGCGCCCATGGGCGCGCCCCCTTCCGCTGGCCCGTCTCCGCCTGCGCCCAGCGCGCCTCCTGCGCCTGGTCCCGCGCCTTCCGCCCCACCCGCGCCAGCTTCCGCCACTGAAGCGCCTGCTCCCGCGCAGGCGCAGGGTCCTGCACCCCCCCCTCCTGCCGCCATAGAGGATTCTGCTGCCCTGAAACAAGCAGCCGCTGCTGCTCCTGCTGCCCCTGCTGCTCCTGCCCCTGCCCCTGCTGCCCCTGCCCCTGCCCCTGCTGCTGCTCCTCCGCCTGCTACTGCTGCTGCTGGTGCAGGCGCAGGGGCAGCTTCGGCTGCTCCCAAGCCGGCGCTTCTCTCCCCTGCCGACCTTGCTAAAGCAACTGCACCATCCACCACTGCCCCTGTTCCTGCTGCCGCCGCTGCTGCTGCGGCTCTTGCTGCCGGATCAAAGCCTGCTGTACCTGCAACCGCCCCTCCCCCTGCCGTTGCCCCTGCTCCTGCCACTGTTACTGTCACCCCTCCTGCTGCTCCTGCTCCTGTTCCTGCTCCTGCTCCTGCTCCTGCTCCTGCTCCTGCTCCTGCTCCTGCTCCTGCTCCTGCTCCTGCTGCTGCTGCTGCTGTTCCTGCTGTATCTTCAGCCTCAGCAGCAGCGGTTGCGGCGGCTTTGGCAGGGGTGGGTGCTGCAGGCGCGGTGAAACCTGCTGCTGCCCCTGCTGCTGCGCCTACTGGCTGGGGTAAGTAGAGTCCTTTTCTAAATAATTTCCAATTTTTTTGGGGGGATGAACAAAGCAAGGATGGGCGCAGCAGGGGTAGGGGCTGCGCGGTGAAACCTGCTGCTGCCCGCACTGCAGCGCGTGCTATTATTTCGCCGCTGGCTGGGGTAAGCTGAGTGCTGCTCTTTCTTTTGCTCCATTCTTTCCATTCCCCCTCCCTCCCATCCGGTTCGTTCTTTCCATTCTGCAACCACCCACCCCACCCCCCACCCCCCCCCTTTCCCCCTTCCCCCCGCTCCTCCCCGCCCACCCACTCACCCCTGCCCCTCCTTGGTATGTCAGCTGTCCGCAAATTTCCATCTTTTCCAACCCCTTCGTGCCACTGATTGGCTCATGTGATTCCCTGTTGGCCTTCTGCCCCTCCTTCGCCGTTTCTCTACTTTCTGCTCTGCTGCTTCGCCTCTCACTCTCCGCTGTCTCGCTGTGCGGTCCCCCTCCCTCGCCGCCTTGCTCTGCTGTTCCCTCCCTCTGTCTCCCTTCCTCTGTTGTTTCTCTCTTCCAGACACGTCGAGCCAGCCGCTGCTGCCACTGACTTTTGAGTCGACTCAAAGGTCACCTTGTTCCCTCCCTTTCTGTCTCCCTCCCTCTCTGTCTCCCTCCCTTTCTGTCTCCCTGCCTTTTCTCTCACTTCCAGACACGTCGAGCCAGCCGCTGCTGCCGCTGCCTCCGCAACAGGCCGCTCAGGTATGTCAGCCGCTGCTGCCATTGCCGCCATTACTGTGGCTGCCGCGACTTGTGCCACTGCTACCGCTGCTGCCACTGCTGCCAATGCTGCCGCTGCTGCCTATGCTACCGCTGCTGCCAATGCCTCCGCAACAGGCCGCTCAGGTATGTCAGCCGCTGCTGGTGTGATGCAATTGTGCTGCTGCCACTGCTGCCACTGCAACAGGCCGCTCAGGTATGCCAGCCTCTGCTGCCACTGCTGTAGCTGCTGCTATTGCCGTACAGGTATCTGTGTCAGCCTCTGCTGCCACTGCCGTAGTTGCTGCAATTGCCGCACAGGTATCTGTGTCAGCCGTTGCTGCCACTGCTGCCAGTGCTGCTGCAAGTGATGTCATTGCTACAATTGCTGCAGTTGCTGCAGTGTTTGCTCATTTCCCCCCTCTTATTTTGCTCGTTCCTCCATTCATTATCACTCTTGTCTTTATATTCTCCCTTCCCGCAGTAGTCAAGACTGCAGTGTTTGCCCAATGGCGCGCTGCAGTCTGGCCACGCGCAGAGGGACGATCAACTCAACTTTCTTACATATTGTCCTTGCCTTAAATGCTGCCCCTGCTCCCTCTCCCCCCCCCCCGCCCCCTCCCCGCCCCCTCCCTTCCCCCTCCCTTTCCTTCCAGCAGCCCAATGGTGCGCTGCAGTCTGGCCACGCGCGGAGGGGCGGAGCCGCAGGAGGAGGAAGAGGGCGAGGAGGAGGAGGCGGAAGAGGAGGAGGAGGAGGGACTTTTCATCAGCAGGTGTGTTTCGAGTGGGTTTGACAGGGAGGGTTGAAGGAGGGAGGGTGAAGGGGAAGCAGAAGAGTAGTTTTGAGGCTCCTCAAAACTTGAGTGGGTTTGACAGGGAGGGTTGATGTAGGGAGGGTCAAAGGGAAGGAGAAGGGGGAGGGGAAATTGCACCACACTAGTAGGTGTATTTCTGTGTCAATTTAAGAAAGAATTAAGGAAATAAGGAGAGCAAGGAGGGCGGGAGTGAGGGTGGGCTCAGTGAAAGATGTGTTTTCGAGAGTGGAGGTACAGGCGAGGTTCTTGTTTCGTACCTTTTGAGGTGCCTCAAAAAAGGAAAGACTAGTTTTGAAAGGAGAGGTAGAGACGAAGGTTCTTCTCTCATGCGCTGAAAGAAGGGTTTCAAGAACAAGGGCCTAGCGAGTGCGACGAAGTGTTTGTAATGCGCTTCCTCCTTCGTTCATGCTTCTTTCCTCGCCTGTCCCCACGCCTCCCATCCCACCACCCACACACCTCCGCCCCCTCTCTCTGGCCTGCCCCCTTTTTCCCCCCTTTTTCCCCCCTTTTCCCCCCTCCTCCTCCTCCCAAATTCTTCCCACTCCACTCCCGTGCACCCCTTTCAGAACGTGGCAGCATATGCAGAGGAGTTTGACTTCAGTGCGATGAACGAGAAGCTCAACAAGGAAGAGGTCTGGGGCGAGCAGGGGGGACATGCCACACTCATGCTTCCTTTATTCTCTTCCTTCCCCGCTCCCTGCTGCCCTTCCTTCCGTGCCCCCTTCCCCTCCTCCCCTTCCTCTCTCCCGCCCCTTCTCCCTCCTTTCACCCCTTCTTACACACACGGCGGCGCGGCGCAGAACGTGGCAGCCTATGTGGAGGAGTTTGATTTCAGTGCGATGAACGAGAAGTTCAACAAGGCAGAGGTCTGGGGCGAGCTGGGGGGGCATGGTGGGCATCAGCAGCACTCTCAGCACCAACAGCACCAGCAGCAGCAAAATCAGCAGGAGGAGAGGGAGAGCGAGGAGCAGGAAGGGGCAGGAGAAGAGGGGAAGAAGGTGAGAAGTGAGAAGTGTGAAAGAAGAGAAGAGGGTAAGTAGCGAAAGAGGGTTTGGGACGTGTAGAGGAAGTGTGATGGTATGGATGTTATGATATGGGGAAACTGGGGATTATGGTGGGATGCTATGCTGTGGTGTGGTTTTATGATGTGAGGAGGAGGGAAGTGCGAAAGGTAATTGGTGGGCTGTGAAGGCCATGCCTTCAACAAATTCATACCGTATGATAAAATGAATTGCCCCCCACACGCACCAGGCGTCCACCCACTATGTGAAGGATGACTTTTAGTGCCTCTCTCTCCTGTGGCGCTTGCTATCCTACAAGAGAGCTTGTATTATATTCATCCCCCCCGCCCCTTCCCCTACAACGCCCCGCCTCCCTCCTCCCCTCCTCCCTCTACTTACAGGAGTCCACCAATTATGTGAAGGACGATTTCTTTGACTCGCTCTCTTGTGATGCGCTGTTTCTTTGATGCATACGTGATACCTCACTCACTGCCCCCTTGTTTCCCGTTAACACCCATCATCACCACCCTCCACCTCACACCAGGCGTCCACCAACTATGTGAAGGACGATTTCTTTGACTCGCTCTCTTGTGATGCGCTTTCGCGAGCCGGAGGGGGCCGGGGTGGCGGCATGCGTGGTTCTGACATGCGACGGATGGATACAGAGGTGAGTGAGGGTGGTGGGGAGGTGTTGGGGGTGGTTGATGGTATTATTCCGGGGCTGGTGGGGGCCGCGTGGCAGCATGTGTGGTTCTGACATGTGATGAATGGACACCGAGGTGAGGGGGGGGAACAGGGGGGAAGGGATGAAGAGTGGGGAACGGGGGAAAACGACAGGGTAGTGAGGTACACAGGGCCGGGGTACACAGGGCCGGGAACGAGTGGTACACAGGGCCGGGGTGGTGGCATGCGTGTGTAACGGGTGGGTAAATGAAGGACATTTAGGATGAGAGGGGGGTGGGGGATGGCGGCATGCGTGCATCAGACATTCGACGGATGGACACTGAGGAGGGGAAGGGGGTAGGCGCCTCAGGATCCAAGAACGACAGGACATTTTCTTGGTTAAGAAGCGCTTTTTGGTGGTATCTGTCTTTCCATGACCCCTACTTTTGCTCCCTCATTTTCCTCCTTCAAATTTTTTCCTTATATTCGGCTATTTTTTCCTCTTAATTTTCCCTCATATATTTCCCTCCTAATTTCCCACCCCCCTCGTTTCCCTCCCCATTTTTGCTCCCTGCTTTTCCTCCATCTTCCCAATTCTTTTCTTTCTTGCCAAACCCTCCCTGCTTGTAACCAGACGTTTGGCGACGTGGGTCACGGTGGTTACGGCGGTTACGGCGGAAGAGGAGGGAGAGGAGGCCGCGGAGGCTACGGTTACTCCGGTGGTTACGGCGGTGGTTACGGCGGGCGAGGCGGTTACCAGGGTGGGGGTGGTTACGGTGGAAGGGGAGGCTACGGGGGAGGGGGTTATGGATATGGAGGGAGAGGGGGAGGTGGATATGGAGGGGGTGGATATGGAGGTGGATATGCCGCTGGGGGATATGGTGGTTATGGTGGTGGTGGCGGTGGTGGCGGTGGTGGCGGGGGTGGTGGTGGTGGGAGGGGTCGAGGTGGTGGTTATCGTGGTGGTGGTGCTGCTGCTGGTGGTGGCCGTGCTGTTCCCATGCAATGACCTTGTGAAGTCATACCATCCATGCTTTTGCAATAGATTTGCATTCATTTGGTTTTCCCTGTTGTTCCATTTGAGAGAGATTCGGTGGTGACTAGTTTATCCTGGGGTGAGATTACTAGTATGAGCATGCATTGAGATGATGTAGGAGTCTGATTCCCGCCCGCCTCTAGTTGGCGATATTATGGTAAATCCCCCTTGCATACTTGCTTTAGTGTTAGTCTTCTCTCATGTGCGTAAGAGTGTCGTTTTATAAGCTGAATGAGAGGATGGAGAGTCAATATGTGGAATCCAATCAACCTTACGTGTATTATGGGATTGCCTATAAGCCTACGGATTCCCAGCAAATAGGCGATGAAAGTTTCTGCCACGTGCCTTGCTCTGATTCCTTGTCACCGCTCAAGCAGCATCCATTTTCGTGTTTGACAAATAACTGAGCACTGATTTTTGTAGGCCAACGGGGCAGCCATCTGCAGCTACAGTACCTTGTGGTGACACCGACCAGCAGAATTTCGCTGATCTTCCAATCTCGCGGCGCGGATGGCAGAAATGGTCCCACCCAAGCACCACGTACTTGCGATTTCAATCACCCTAAGCCTCGATGTACTAGACTTCATACAAATGATAAACAGAATCTCTGCTGATCCTTTCAGCATATAAAATAAAGTGTTCAATGATTTCCCGAGTTTACTAGGCTCCTAATTCAGAACTTGGTTACATTGCATTGAGGGCACACCACATATTGAACCCAAGTTTCCTTCAGTTGAGATGGAACTACTACATTTGGCACATTTGCGCTTCAAACAAACTCCGCCGCTGCACCATCCTTTATGCAATCACATTTCTCCCTCCAGCCCCCGATCCACATAGTTATCCACACTGCGACTGTCACTTTCGAATCTTGCCTAAGCTAGACGCAACGAAAATGTCTGACCTGAAGACACTCCACCGTAAAATGCGGCGTCACCAAGACCGCCCGTTCGACTTTGTTGCCGCCCCCTCGCACTCTCCTCTCCCCACTCGACATCTGGAGGGAGAGGGAGAGGAAAAGTCCTAGCGCCGCCGCGCTCGCATCAGGCATTTCTCGCGCGCAAAACCTTCCATGACCCACACAAAGAAGTGTGAGGAATTCAGGCACCACCGCATCGAGGGCCCGATAAGCTATAATAACTTTTTTGGATACCTACACATGGGTTTAGCAGGGCCTGCTACGCCTCCCTTCGTCTCACCATCCAAGAACTTTTGTGCTCACTGACCTAGTTTGACGCCAGGTTCCACAATGGCCCGTCTTCAAAGCATCGTTCTCCCTTTACTCGCCACGACGACACTGCTTCTACCGCTTCTATCGCCGTCATCCGCGGCGGATTACCCGCTCTGCCCCCTGACGCAGAATCCGCCGCAAAAACCGGCGATTATCCCATCGCGGTGCGTGAACGCGGTTGAGGCGAGCTGCTGCGAGAACTGCTTCGACCGCGGATTCGCTCTGTCGGCGGTGCTCGCGAATGAGACGACCATCCTGAATGAATTCGCTCCGTCGCTCGCGAAGATGCTAGGAGGAACAGAGATTCAGGTGCGTGGCTCGCGAGCAACATTGCGAAAAATGGAGTGAAGAAAATCTCGCTAGGATTATTGCGAATAATCTTTTGAAGAAGTTTGTGAGAAATTAAAGAGCTGCTGTAGACAGCAGTTTTAAGAATTTTTTGTCGTCGCAGGCGCAGCTGCTGCGTGAAGCGATTATTATTTTAATCAACGTTAGCAGGAAAACTTCTGTTCTCTTTAGCTACTGTCGGGCGTTCTGAAAACCCTTAACTGCTCTCTCTTTTCTAGCACTTACTACGAAAATCATCTTTCGCCCTGACTCAAACAATTGTCGCCTGTTTTTCCTCCCTATCGTGACCATGGTGCTTCCCATCCCCTCCCAGCTGTGCTCCTTATTTGTTGGATTCCACGACTGCGCGAACGAGTTGGAGCAGGTCAACTGCGCCTTAAAGCGAGCAGGCAAAATAGTGACCCCGTTTTCTAGTTGGGTCCAGGTTGAAATGAGTGAAGTGGCGGGAATGAGTGCGGGTGGATGGCCAGAGTTAACGCGCCGAAAGAAAGGAGGCTTGTACCCCACGGGAGGGGAGCAAAAAAGAATCAGAGTTCAGTTGATCGCATGTGTGGTTGGCGATAGCATTGTGAATGCATTAGCGGGCATACCTGCTCCTCACCCAATCATGTGTAGGAACAACATCTTCTGATTGGACCGTCAAGGCAGAATGAACACTCCTGCAGCACCTGCAACCCTCGACAGAACCACCCCAATTGAAACATCTTCAACACAAGCCACACGAGAAATGAGCAGCGCCCATCTCGAACACGCCCTGCCTACCCCCTGACTAAATGTGCGGAACCAAAGCCGCTCGACACTGAGTAGCATAGCTATAGCTCCTCCCGCGGCGAATAGTCGAATCTAGTGATGAGCCCGTTTAGGCACGGCGCAGCGCGCGGTAGTGTGAGACCAGAACCGATCGAAATGTGGCATGCGCGGATGCGTGCAAGTGAATCCGTCGGTGCCTGTTTCTTCCCGTGCACGTGACTGAACATCTCGTCGTCGCCGTCGCCTCGCGATTTCCCACGCGCTTCTCCTCGTCGCCCCCGCTTCGCGATCTCCCACGCGCTTCTATACGTCGCCCCCGCCTCGCTATTTCCCACGCGCTTCACCTCGTCGCTCCCGCCTCGTCATTTCCCACGCGTTAGTCCGCGTCGCCCCCGCCTCGTCATTTCCCTCGCGCGGAACCTCGTCGCCCGCGCCCCGTCATTTCCCTGGCGCTTTTCTCCGTCGACCCCGCCTCCTCATTTTCTCGCGCGCGCAGCCTATACTCGCGCATGAAGTTTGCCAATGATTCCCCCCAGTAAAACACCTCCAACCACCCGAATCGCCTCTTCCTCCCTCCATCAGTCGCTGGAAACCCCCATCTCTCCCCTCTCTTCCTCTCTCTCCCTCCCTCACTACCTTGCTCTCTTCCCCCCTTCCAATGTCCCTCTCGCGTACCCCTCTCAGGAGAGAGGGGTAAGGACCGAGGGTTTGAGACAAAGGGGCAAGGACACAGGGGGAGAGACAGAGGAGAAAGGACAGATTGGGAGAGGCATAAGGGGAAGGACAGAGGGGGAGAGGCATAAGGGGAAGGACAGAGGGGGAGAGGCATAAGGGGAAGGACAGAGGGGGAGAGGCATAAGGGGAAGGACAGAGGGGGAGAGGCATAAGGGGAAGGACAGAGGGGGAGAGGCATAAGGGGAAGGACAGAGGGGGAGAGAAAGAAGGGGAAGGACAGAGGGGAGGAACAGAGGGGGAGGGGCAGACAGGGAGAGAGAGGGGGAGAGCCTGTACTTCCCTCACTCCCTCCCCCAGTCCCCCTCACACTAGGCGTCACTGTTTACACCCCTCATTATTTTGACCAGCCTCTCTTTCTCCCACCAGCTCTGTTTACCCTTCCCCCCTCCCATCGCCCTGCTTCCCCCCTCCCTCCTCCCTGCTTCCCCCCTCCCTATGCCCTGATTCCCCCCTCCCTATGCCCTGCTTCCCCCCTCCCTATGCCCTGCTTCCCCCCTCCCTATGCCCTGCTTCCCCCCTCCCTATGCCCTGCTTCCCCCCTCCCTATGCCCTGATTCCCCCCTCCCTATGCCCTGATTCCCCCCTCCCTATGCCCTGATTCCCCCCTCCCTATGCCCTGCTTCCCCCCTCCCTATGCCCTGATTCCCCCCTCCCTATGCCCTGATTCCCCCCTCCCTATGCCCTGATTCCCCCCTCCCTATGCCCTGCTTCCCCCCTCCCTATGCCCTGATTCCCCCCTCCCTATGCCCTGATTCCCCCCTCCCTATGCCCTGATTCCCCCCTCCCTATGCCCTGCTTCCCCCCTCCCTATGCCCTGATTCCCCCCTCCCTATGCCCTGCTTCCCCCCTCCCTATGCCCTGATTCCCCCCTCCCTATGCCCTGATTCCCCCCTCCCTATGCCCTGATTCCCCCCTCCCTATGCCCTGCTTCCCCCCTCCCTATGCCCTGATTCCCCCCTCCCTATGCCCTGATTCCCCCCTCCCTATGCCCTGATTCCCCCCTCCCTATGCCCTGCTTCCCCCCTCCCTATGCCCTGATTCCCCCCTCCCTATGCCCTGCTTCCCCCCTCCCTATGCCCTGATTCCCCCCTCCCTATGCCCTGCTTCCCCCCTCCCTATGCCGTGCTTCCCCCCACCATCAGAGAGGTGAGCGCCACACACCAGGTGAGCCTTCACCTTCTTCATATGCCCCTCCTCTCCGTCGATCTCACCCTCTTTCCTGTCCCTCCCATGTACCCCTCCTCTCTCGTGCATGCCCTGCTTCCCCCCTCCCTCCGCCCTGCTTCCCCCCTCCCTCCGCCCTGCTTCCCCCCTCCCTATGCCCTGCTTCCCCCCTCCCTATGCCCTGCTTCCCCGCTCCCTAAGCCCTGCTTCAGGCACTTTTGGCGCGCTATACAGGTGGGCAGGTGTATCACTTCAGCGGCTTCCATCCGGCCAACAACGGGGACAAGCTGCGGATCCAGATGTGTCTAAGTCCTTTCTTGTCTCTCAGTCCCTCTTGCCTCCCTGTCTCCCTGCCTCCCTCCCTCCCTGCCTCTCTGCCTCCCTGCCTCCCTGCCTCCCTGCCCCCCTCACTCACCAGGCACCTTGGCGTGGTACACGGGTGGGCAGGTGTATCATTACGGCGGTTTCCATCTGGTCAACGGGGGGGACACGCTCCGGAGCCAGTTCCGTCTATGTTATTCCTTACTCCCTCTCATCCACTACCTTCCACTCCCCTACACTCCCCTCCACTCCCCTCCACTCCCCTCTACCCCCCTTCACTCCCCTCCACTCCCCTCCACTCCCCTCCACTCCCCTCCACTCCCCTTCACTCCCCTCCACTCCCATCCACTCCCCTCCACCAGGCACCTTGGCGCGGTACACGGGTGGGCAGGTGTATCATTACGGCGGCTTCCTTCTGGTCAACGGAAAGGACAAAGCTGAGGCATGCGTCTGCCTTCCTTCCATTTTTCAGGCACCATGGCGTGCTACACAGGTGGGCAGGTGGGCAGCAAGGAGGGGGTTAGCGATTGGGACAAGCCGAGGAGCCAGATTGTGAGGAACCTGATGCAGGAGACTGCATGGAAATCCGTGACTGGAACGTTGCACACCCGGCGCAGAAAAGACGGGCGTGTGAGGTATGGGGATTTGATAAAGGTGGGTTTGGGGGAAGGGATTGATGGGCCGTTAGGTGTAAGAATTAGGTGGCCGGTCATGTAAGTTTGGTGCTTATCCTTTTCGTCTGCCCACGTTCCCTTTCCGTGCTCCTCTCTCGTGCATGCCCTGCTTCTCCCGATCCCCTGCCCTGCTTCCCCACATCCCCATCCCTGCTTACTGGATTCCCAAAGCCTGCTTCCCCCCATCCCCTTCCCTGCTTGGGCCCCCCTCCATATTCTCAGGTGATATTTTCCCACATGCCAGGTGAGCCCAGGGTATGAGATGAGGGGATCGATGGGTCAGAGGGAAAGTGAGAGGGATATGATAGCTGAAGGGCCTGCCAGATCCCTGGAGCAAGGTGGTTGCCGATGCATTTGCAGTGCTGCCATTTTCCTGCCAAATTTCGTCCCCTACTGGTGCATCCCCTTGTATCTCCCCCTGCTCCCTCCCTATGTGCCCTCCTTACTCTCCCTCTCCATAGGTCTCTCCTCTCCCTGCCCATGTGCCCCTCCCCGACCCTGCTTTCCTTCTTCTTTGCCTCTTCCCCATCCTGCTCCTGCTCCCCCCTTCCCACATCCTCCCTGCCAGGAGGACGACCTAGAAGCATCGCATCAGGAAACTGACAGCAAGGTACGGATCCTTCACTTCCCCAATCTTCACGCCCTCTCACTCTCATTTCTTCCCACCCTCATCTCTCTCCTTCCATCCCACTCTCACTCTCAGTCCATCCCCCTCTCACTCTCATTTCATCCCACTCACACTCTTTCATTCCATCTCTGTGTTGATGATTGCAGTCTACTGCCCTGTGTCCACCCCAACACACAAGCCTGTCAGTGCTACTGGAGCTGTATCTTTGGTCGCCTTTCACCGCAGAGAAGTACGTGTTGCCCCTGCCACTGCCGCAGCGCACAGCACATCGACAGGGTGGGGCTGTTGCTGTTGGGGCTGTTGGTAGTACAGTCAAAGGAGCAGCTAGTGGTCTCACCTACAGTATTAATGGTGACAAAACCTTCACATGTTGACTTGTGCATTACTGATGCCTTGGGTTGGGTTGTGCGTCCATGAAACAAATTGAACGTCCCAGCTTTCAGACGTTGAGGATATGGCCACTGTTTGGCAGCTGGACGGGTAACACCGTTGTGTAATACTAGCTAAGAACCTATGTGGAAAGGCAGTTAACTCCTACAAATACATGCTGTTCGCAGACACACAGACGGAGATAAGGTGCTAAAAGCCCCAAATATAATGGAATAAACAGATCTCTGCTCAATGTCCATGGAAGATGAGCCGGGTGTATGACCCAAGGGCGGATAGTTTGGCGAGCCTGTGGTGTGGAAAATCATAGAAAAACGGAAGCGAGTGGAGGACGTCTTAGTATTGTTTACTTGTTGGGTGGAAAAAGGGGAAAAACAAATAGCGCTTATAGAGGGAGTAGGAGTGACGGGAAGGAAGGTGAGCAACTGAGAGAAGGGTATGGGTTGAGTGGGGGCGGAGGGGTATGACTAAGGTGGGTGGGGATGGAAAGGACCGGATGATTCGATGCTCATAGTCGGTGTGGGAAGGAACGGAAAGACAAATCAGAGAGATAGGTGAGTGAGGGCAGGGAATCGAGGGAATAGGGATACTGCTTAGGTATGGCAAAAACAGACAGGAGCAGCGGATGTACGAAAGTGGGAAGGTGTGAGTGTGGGTAAGTGTCCCGCGTGTGTGAATGATGGCCATCCGCCGCTGGGTGGGTGAGTCGCAATAGCAGGGGGGAATGGGAAAGTGTGAGGGGTTTGGGGGTTGAGTGTGGGTGACATTGCAAGGACAACATGATGAATTTAGGTTGAGCTTGTGATGCAAATCAGAATGGGGATTTGAAAGGGATGAACATGCGAGCAGCAGGATGGGAGGGGGTGAGAGGTGCATGTCTCTGAAAATTATGGACAAACATGAGCAGCTAGGTGAATCAGATTGTAACGGATTCGCACCCATACAGCCGGATGGGAAAGGATGGTTTGGAAGGGCATTAGGACCTGGGCAAAGAGCATATTGATTCATTTGTCATACCTGCAGTAGAGGCCGCGTCAAGTAAATAGTCAACAAGAGCGGGGGCAGCTTCGATGAACAAGAATACCATATCACTATCCCGTGGCACGCAACCACCTCCCATGAAACTTGCCAATCCGCAGCGGAGGATGGCCCATGGTGTGGTCAAGTGACAGCTGAGAGTGAGCTTTCTTTTATCCAGCAACCTGTGCAATGCCTTGGCCGTCTCAGTCACGCTGGCTTCACCACCCTGCACCAAGGCAGCACGGCCGGTACCCTCATCGCCACCGCCCCTCTCTGTGCCGGACATGTGAGCTCACCCTGGAGCGAAGGGTGAGAAAGAGAATTGCGATGCAGAAGGTGTGCTTTGCTGGTGGCAAGTGAGAGGCACGACAGAGATGAGATAGTGGCGAGGGGGAAAGGGAGGTGGGGATGGACACGAGGATAGGGGAGTGGTGATGGACACAGTGGAAAGGGAAGTGGGGATGAACAGGGGGAAGGGGGAGTGGGGATGGACAGGGGGAAAGGGATGTGGGGATGGACAGGGGGAAAGGGATGTGGGGATGGACAGAGGGAAAGGGAAGTGGGGATGGACAGGGGGAAAGGGAAGTGGGGATGGACAGGGGGAAAGGGATGTGGGGATGGACAGGGGGAAAGGGAAGTGGGGATGGACAGGGGGAAAGGGATGTGGGGATGGACAGGGGGAAAGGGAAGTGGGGACGGACAGGGGGAAAGGGAAGTGGGGATGGACAGGGGGAAAGGGGAGTGGGGATGGACAGGGGGAAAGGGAAGTGGGGATGGACAGGGGGAAAGGGATGTGGGGATGGACAGGGGGAAAGGGGAGTGGGGATGGACAGGGGGAAAGGGATGTGGGGATGGACAGAGGGAAAGGGAAGTGGGGATGGACAGGGGGAAAGGGGTGTGGGGATAGACAGGGGGAAAGGGATGTGGGGATGGACAGGGGGAAAGGGAAGTGGGGATGGACAGGGGGAAAGGGATGTGGGGATGGACAGGGGGAAAGGGAAGTGGGGATGGACAGGGGGAAAGGGATGTGGGGATAGACAGGGGGAAAGGGATGTGGGGATGGACAGGGGTTTAGGGGAGTGGGGATGGACAGGGGGAAAGGGAAGTGGGGATGGACAGGGGGCAAGGGGAGTGGGGATGAGAAGGGTAAGGGGGGGCGCACGGGCGAAATCCAGGCACACACCAGGCACACACCAGGTACATACCAGGTACGTACCAGGTACATACCAGGTACGTACACTCACACTAGTACACGCGAGAAGTCGTGTCAGAATCAGGCCTGTCAAGAGGCTTGATGGCTAAGTCAGCGGGGGCACCGCAGGCGTGACTGGAACGCTGGGAGGGACAGAGGGAAGGCGAATTGGGGAGGGACAGAGGGAAGGCGAATTGGGGAGGGACAGAGGGAAGGCTAATTGGGGAGGGACAGAGGGAAGGCTGAATGGGGAGGGACAGAGGGAAGGCGAATTGGGGAGGGACAGAGGGAAGGCGAATTGGGGAGGGACAGAGGGAAGGTGAATTTGGGAGGGACAGAGGGGAGGCGAATTGGGGAGGGACAGAGGGAAGGCGAATTGGGGAGGGACAGAGGGAAGGTGAATTGGGGAGGGACCAGATAGAGGGGGAAAAGGGGAGTGAGAAACAGGGATATGGAAAGGGAGGCATTGAGGGAAGGGGAAATGGGTACTGACTGTGAAAAGGGGAAATGGGGAGTGACTGGAGAACGGGGAAATGGGGAGGGACTGGGCGAAACGGGATATGAGGAGTGACTGCGAAACGAGGAAATGGGGAAGGACAGAGGGTTGGATAAATGGGGATTGGGGGAAGGGGAAATGGGCAGTGACTGTGTATATGGGGAAGGGCAGCAGAAGGGGAAGGGGAAATGGGAAGTGAGAGGTAAAACGGGAAGTTGGGCAAGGCAGCAACCCGCCTTGGAATCCGTCTGGAAGAGAGCCGGCACGGTGCAATGCCTTGCAATCTGCCTGAACACTAGCAGGTGCGGCGCTGGGCCTTGCAGCCTGGATAAAAAAGAGCAGTTTCGGCGCAGTGCCTTGCAATCCGTCTGGGCAGGTGGAGGCGCGGTGCACTGCTGTGCAGGAAAAGGTTTTACCCTGAACAGGCGCGGCGCAGTGCCTGGAAATCCGCCCCTAATAGAGGCGGCGCAACACAGTACCGAGCAAATCGCCTGAGAACGAGCATCGCGGCGTGGTGCATTGCAATCCGTATGGAAACGCGCAGGTGAGGCGCGGTGCTTTGCAATCAGTCTGGAAACGAGCAGGCGCGGCACGGTGCCTTGCAATCCGTTTTAAAACGAGCAGGTGTGGCGCTGAGCGTAGCAATCCGTATGAGTGCGAGGTGGCGGGGCACAGTGCCTTGCGATCTCCGAAAACGCGGAGGCGCGTCGAATTGCCTTGCACTCCGGGAGACCGCAACCTCTTTGGGGCGACGTGGCATTGGAATCAACCCTAAATCACATAATGGGCGCAGCGCACCCTAGCATTCCGTCCGTACGCGAGTAGCATAGGCGATGTGCCGTGCAATCCGTACCTAAGCCTGCGTACGCAACTCAGATGCTTGCGCTGCCCCTCGAATGCAGGAGTGTCGGCGAGCAGTGGGGTCATGCCCGTTCGCTACTTCTATCCACCCTGAAGCAAAGGTCGTACCTGGTGTTTTATTTGCTAGCGGAATGAATGGTCAATGCCGTCACTTTATTTGTCACGGAGACTGAACACGCCAAGAGGTAGAGTCTCAGAAACGGCAGCTATGACCGTTTGCTCCCGAAATATGAGTCTAAGGACGCTTCGCTTTCGTTGTACGGGTTCGTGACTGAGTACGCTACCCTTTTTTATGTCGCGTTTAGTGCTGTATCCGTGGCACTAGTGAGTTTAGACTTGGTAGCGTGGAACCCAGGTCCACTTTGAAGAGCAAGTTTGGGCCCACTGGAACAGTCGAGCTCTGTCCTGCTCCCCTCTCATTTTTTGGTGGCTCTGTTCTCACACGTTAGTTCGTATCGTGTTCCCCACTCCCCTCTTTGCGCACATTTCAATCCGTTTCCTCTGTCGCACATGTTAGCCTTCGCTTTACATGGATTGAATTGGCGAACACGCCCACCAATGCCCTGGATCGTAAGGGGACCAAAACCTCGCTGTCCAATCAGATTCTGATGGTTGCTTCTCTTTAGAAAATTACAAGGTGTTCATGAACAGTGCCCTCCTGAAACAGTGCCAGAGTTTCAAACTGGGACTCCCTTTACTATTTTACCTGCTCGCTTTAAACTGTAACCCAGGCACGTCTTTACTAAGGTCGTATCCCCAGCAAGTGTCAAGAGATGCTAGTGTCATGACACTAACTCGAAAACACATGGAGGGCTATCCCTCCTGGTGTCAGCTAAACCAACCAATGAGATCGCGGGAAATCGTCCAATGTGCCCAACATTGACACCAGGCTGGAGCCGCGCTCACACGCGGCTCCACTTGGTATCAACCGTAAACAACGCTTCACACCAAGCCTTTCTTGACACTTGCTGGAGATACGACCTAACACCCCCCCTTTTGCGTCTTGACAAACTCGAACTGGATATGCAGACACTTTTCTTCTATGCTATTTTCCTGTTCTCATTTCCTATGCAGACACTTTGCTTCTATGCTATTTTCTATGCTTTTATGCTATTTCCCTTCCAATGTAAAGTACTGAAAAGAGTATCAATCTATACCTGATTGCTCAATTAATACTGTCACCGTGATTCCGTTAGCTAACGATTCGCCAAATATGTCTTCAGACTCAGGCAACTACGTGCGCAAGGGTGAAGGGGTGGGCGCGAACCCCATTTTCACGATGTGCGACGGTTATGCGACCAAGATGTTCAACAACTGCAAGGGACTGCCAGGTACAGTACACCGCATGAGATATTAGAGCAGAGAAACAAAGGTGGACGGTTATACAAAGGCATGTATGCATATCTCACTGTGGGTTGTTCCTCTTCATAACCAACCTTCCAAGATTCACTTCTTTTCACTTATCTTTGCCCTCACCAACCAAGTACAATTTGGTGTTACAACCTTCTCCCATTCTTCTTTAAATTAAAGCTTAGGAACTTCTGGCTTCCCTCCCCACCTGCTCCTTCCAGTCCCTTGCACAACGGCCACGTTCGGTCAGTTTCTCAACAGCAAGGAGCGCCTGCTGAACAAGACGTTTGGCGCAATCTTCCCTGCCCTCGGTTACATCAGCACCACTCTCGAGAGTGTGCCTGTGAGTAATATGAGAGTGCTTGGCAGAAAAGGAAGAGGGGGAGGGCAAAGAAGGGGTATAAGATCGCCTGCCGACAAAACGTTTGGTGCCATCTTCCAGCCCTTGGGTATATCAGCACCACCCTCAAGATTGTACCTGTGAGTAGTGGGAGCAGCAGAACTGGGGAGAGGGGAAGGGGTGAACAGGGGAGGAACAGAGGAGGGGTAGAAGGGGGAGAGGGTGAAGGGGGGAAAGAAGGGGTGCAGACAAACTTGACAGGCTGGTTATCAGCTGACGTACTTGTATGTTTGGCCATGTACAGGGCACAACTGGCTGCTATAATGGACCTGCCATGGTTCCTTCTCGCGTCATCTGTTGCGACCCGCTCGTTCCTCCGACCAACTGCCCTGCTGGCACTGTAGACAATCCTCGTTTCAAGAAGCTCTTCAACCGTACATTGGACAAGAACGACTGTGTTGCATATGCTGGCATATCAGATGCTCCTGTTGTAGTTGAGCCTGTTCCCAGCAGCTCTGGCTCTGGTGGCTCAACAGCTAGCAGTAGTGGGGATGATGGAAGCAGCAACAGCGGTAGCAGCGACAGCAGCAACAGTGGGAATAGTGGAAGCAACAATGGTGCTAGCCCATCCACCAACAGTACTAGTGGTGGTAGTGGGAGTAACAATGGCAAAGGGAGTGGACGCTTTGCCGGGTTCGGTTACTTCTGGATGTTCCTAGTATCCTCGGTCTTCTTGTTTCGCTGAATCAAGCACGGAATGAATGTGAAGTCTGGAGCAGGACGTTTTAAAAACGTTGTTTTTAAGACGACGTTTTTCCTTAGCAGCAGCAGTAGAGAGACTTGACATAAATTCCGTTGAGGATGTTGCTGCTAAGGAAACGGGCACTAAGGGGTGTACCATGTGATATGAAGATGCTGTAAGGCAAGTCCCTCGCTATGATGCTCTTTGCCAGCTTGGAGGATAGCAGTGCTGCCAAGCAGACTGTACAAAACGTGTGTACACTATACAGCGTGCTGCTGAGAGGTGTGCCGCTCGATGAATGTCGCACATGTTGTGTATCTTGCTCCAAGCATGTACGATAGAGATAGAATTGCATAAGCATATGACCAACAATGTGCGTACTGTAACCCTAACTCAAACCCTTATCTTGGCGAGAAGCATTTGCCTCTTATGTATTGAAGTGAAGGCGGCGTCTTTCTAATGCAATTCGAGTGTAGTGTGTAACTGAAAACCCACAAAGCCACCTTTTGGGTCCTAGTACCGCAGCGCAGGCGCAGCCATTTGTACTGCGATTCAGTTGGGAGTCTGCACTGTAAAGCCCATTTGCGTCGAAGCGACGAATAGCATTCTCTTGTCCTCACTAGGTCCGATTGGCATGGTATGGCAGTCCGTTTTTTTCCGCTTCGCCGAGTAATGATTCCGCCGAGTAAGGACGTCTTGCTCGCGGGGTAAGTGCATCGATAGTGTTGCGAGACGAGAACGTAGGTTGTCGAAGAGGTGGAAACGCCACCACGTAGGATTGGAACCGCGGCGCCCGCCAATACAGTAGGGATCAGGGGGGCTTCCAGCCAAAATGTTTCACCAGAAGCCAAACTCGACCGAAAAATGCGGCGTCATCAACACCGCACAGTCGTCTTGCTGCCGTCCCTTCACACGTCTTCCCCCTCGGCTTCTAGGGGGAGAGGAGAGGGAGGCGTTATCGGGCGTTCGTCTCAGGCATTCATGTACGGAATGCGCGGAGTTCAATCACCGCTGCATTCAGAGGAACCGATAAGCGGCACAAATATATACACTAATGTATCCTCTTTCAATAACACGAGGCCTTGCTTCGACGCCTAGTACGACTCACCATCTAGGCGTGACCTTTGTTCTGTACACTCGGCTCGGACCCTACACTACCCGACTCGGGGTACTTTTATGCACATTCCGTAAATTAGGTGAAACCCACAATGGGCCGTTTTCAAAGCGTCGTTCTCTCTCTTCGCCACGACGACTCTGCTTCTCCCGCTTCTGTCGCCGTCATTCGCGGAGAGTTACCCGCTCTGCCCCTTCACGCAAAAACCACCGCAAAATCCGACCATTATCCCGTCGCGGTGCGTGGACGCGGCAGAAGGGAGCTGCTGCGGAAACTGCTTCGACCACGGAATGGCGCTGTCGGCGGTGCTCGCGAACGAGTCGGCCATCGTTAATCAATTCTCACCATCGCTGGCGCAGCTGCTAAGGGGGACAGAGGTTCAGGTGCGTGGCTCGCGAGCAATGCTGCGAGAAAAACATTGAAAGAATGTCGCGAGAAATCTCAGTCGCCAGAACATTGGGAAAAAAACGCTTCGAGGAAAAGTTGTAACGTCAGGCGCTCGATGGCGCAGCTGCTGCGCGAAAGTTTTATTGGTTGTATGCTAGGGATAGTAGCGTTAGAAGGAGAGTCTTCCCCCCCTACTAACCATCTGCCTTCGGCGGGTCGGAGTCGCCTATAGTGCTTTCTCGTTCCTGACAACTCCGAAAATTCTATGTTTTGCGACTCAACCGATCGTCACTGTGTGTGCGCGTGGTTCTCTCAACCATTTGTTTCGTCTCGATTGCATCTGGTCTGGTCCCCTCCCAGATGTGCTCCTTATTTGTGGGATTCCACGACTGCTCGAACGATTTCGAGCAGGTTGGCTGCGCCATAAACTGTAACCCAGGTGCGTGTTTACCAACATCCCTCGTCGAGTCCTGACAAACGCAAAGTGGACCAATCCTGCCTTCTTGTCAATGCACGAGTTCGCTTCAATTCTATTTCCAATTCTCAAACACTCTGCACTCCTCGGATAGTTCTCTGCACTCCTCCGATGGTGCTCTGCACTCCTCTGATACTGCTCTGCATCTCTCTGATAGAACTCAGTATTCCTCTGAGCTCCATTCCAATAAGGGCGAGTCATTTTCATTTCATTTTTGCTCAATACCCATCCCGACCTATCTGGAAACTGATTTGGCCGTTGTAGAACGCGAGAAATCTCACTAAGCCGCATTCAAACGAACGAAAAAGACCCGCCCTAACATTCTCTGGTGATTAACAGTTAACACTGGTTTGCTTGTTCCTGTTACCGTCTCTCCCGTCAACGCTTTCGCCACATCTGTATCCAGAGTCGGGCAACTACGTCCGCCAGTCTGAAGGGGTCGGCGCGAACCCCATTTTTTCGATGTGCGATAGTTTTGCAACCAAGATGTTCGATGACTGCAAGGGACTGCCAGGTACAGTACACCGCTTAACAAATACTCCAAGCATGTAATAAGGATGGTCGGTTCCACATGTGCATACGTCCATATCATACTGTAGTATGGATTTCTGTTTATTACCCGTTTTCCTTCTTTGAATAGAGGAGACACTTCTCACGTTTTTGTATTTGCGCCCCTTCACCACCCATCCAAACAAAAAAAATGAACCATTCGAACATTCCAGTTGAACGAACGAACGAGGAGCGCTTACTGAGTGTGCATCCCTTGTTTCCCTCTACCCTGCTGACGTCGTCACTATACTTTGACCTATCGTTTCCCTTTATCCTTGCCCCCTCGTCCTCCCCTCCACCTGCCTCCCTCCTTTCCCTTTGCCATCCCTCCAGCCCCCGGCACTGGGGGCACGTTTGGCCAGTTTCTCAACAGCAAGGCGCTTGCTGAACATCCCTCCTTGGCTTCCCATCCACCATGCTAGAAAAATATCGTTACACCCTTCCCTTTTCCCCACTCCGTCCCTCCAGTCCCTGGCACTGGGGCCACGTTTGGCCAGTTTCTCAACAGCAAGGAGCGCATGCTGAACAAGTCGTTTGGTGCTATCTTTTCGGCCCTCGGATACCGCAGCACCTCGCTCGAGATTGTACCTGTGAGTAGTGGGAGTGGCAGAAGCGGTGACAGGGGATGCAAGCAGGGGAGGGGGCAAGGAGCGCATGCTGAACAAGTCGTTTGGTGCTATCTTCTCAGCCCTCGGATACTGCAGCACCTCTTTTGAGATTGTGCCCGTGAGTAGTGTGAGATTGCTTGGCAGAAACAGGGGCGGGGGGCAGGGGGGGGGTGGGGGGGGGTAGAAGGGGGGAGAGGAGGTTGAGGGGTGTGGACGAAACTCACAGGTTTGGTACCCTCGTAACAGCTGACTCACTTGTGTATCTGCCCTTGTACAGGGAACGACGGGGTGTTACAATGGTCTGACAAAGTTTGAAGAAAGAAAGGGGAATGAACTAGCAGAAATGGGGATACAAATAGCAAACCCTAAAAGGGTTGTACTCGCTATAGAGCACCCCACTACATGCTAGAACATAAGAATAATATTCTGACACACCCCCATAGCCAAAGTGGGGTGTAATCAGCAGAGCAGGCAAAGCAATACAAGCTCAGGGTGGATCACAATGTCACCACACATTCTGAGCACAAGTTCAAGAAGAAATAGTTTAGAGTTCACACAATTATAAGCAAAGCTAGTGGTAGTCACAACGGGCAAGTGAGGAGGAGGAGGGAGAGTGAGGGGAGAGGAGACAGGAGGCGACGGCTGAAGCTGCAGACACACGGGCAACAGGAGGCAGACTGGCACAGCGGCTACCGGACAGCGCCCGGACTACAGGAGTAACAGGCCCCGCGGCTCAAATAGCGGCGGACGGGCAACGGACCCACGGGCGGCGGGCACAGCTGGCTACGACTGGGCTACCGGGACAGCGCCCCGGACTACAGGTGCTGCGGACGACAAGCCGGCAGCCTCCGCTCAACCTCCCGCAAACAGTCCCACCCCCCTGATACACACCCACTGCTACACCGCTAGCTTTACTCCCACGCACCCCCCCTTAAACCTTAAACCCCAGTCTCCCACACAACCACCCCCCTCAGCGACAGCTGCAGCAGCGGGAGACGAAGGAGGAGGAGGAGCAAGGGAGGAAGGCACACCGGCCACCCCCATACCCGCCACCGGCCCCCTCAGGTCGCCTCGACGGACGACGGGAAATGGCAGGGGGAAGGGGGGGGGGGGGGGGGGGGGGGGGTGTGGTGAAAGGGGCCCACCACGGGCCTGGTTGGAGGGCGGGGCCGCGACAAGGGGCGGGACCGCGACGGTCGGGGCGGGGCCGCGACGAGGGGCGGGGCCGCCACGTAGGGCGGGGCCGCTTCGAGGGGCGGGGCCGCGACGCAGGGCGGGGCCGCGACGTAGGGCGGGGCCGCGTCGAGGGGCGGGGCCGCGACGGTCGGGGCGGGGCCGTGACATAGGGCGGGGCCGCTTCGAGGGGCGGGGCCGCGACGCAGGGCGGGGCCGCGACGCAGGGCGGGGCCGCGACGTAGGGCGGGGCCGCGTCGAGGGGCGGGGCCGCGACGGTCGGGGCCGCTTCGAGGGGCTGGGCCGCGACGCAGGGCGGGGCCGCGACGTAGGGCAGAAGCCCGCCGCGCGCCTCGGGGCGCACAGCGGGCAAAGAACCGCCGCGCGCCTCGGGGCGCACGGCGGGCAGAAAACCGCCGCGCGCCTCGGGGCGCACGGCGGGAGGAAAAAGTAGCAGCGGAAGCGAGGTGGTAACCCACCCACAGGATCGATCCAAGGGGATCGACCTGCTCTGATAGCATGACAAAGTTTGAAGAAAGAAAGGGGAATGAACTAGCAGAAATGGGGATACAAATAGCAAACCCTAGAAGGGTTGTACTCGCTATAGAGCACCACACTACAGGCTAGAACATAAGAATAATATTCTGACATGGTCCTTCCAAGATTCCTCCTCGTGTCATCTGCTGCGACCCACTCATTCCTCCGGCCAACTGCCCTGCCGGAACTGTAGACAATCCAAGCTATAAGAAACTCTTTAACCGTACACTGGACAAGAAAGACTGTGCTGCATATGCCGGCATATCGGACGTTCCTGTTGTAGTGCAGCCTACTCCCACAGGCAACCCAGGCATGAATGGATTGACGGGTAGCAGTAAAGGAAATGATGGAAGCAGCGACACTGGTAATGGCAGTGGTGCTAGTCCATCTGCTAGCAGTACTAATGGTGGTAGTGGCAGTAGCAGTGGCAATAATGACAAAGGGAGTGGGCGTTTTGCAGGGTCTGGTTACGCTTTCAGGATGATCCTATTTTTCCTCTGTCTTCCTACTTGGCTAAATCAATCATGGAATTATTGTCAAATTAACAGACGAGAGAACATTTTTTCCCTTGTAGAATTTACTTTCTATCGAATGCTGCTTGGGCTTACTGCATTTTTTCTCGACAGTCTATTGTGTATAATCTGTAGTTTTTATAGTGGCTTCATATTTTTTGCGGAGCGGTTTAAAACGCAGTATTCGGAATTTACGAGGAAACTTTCAGAAGCTTCTAGAGTGGTTGGGTTGGGGTGTACGGCTTTCTGTAGAGTAACGGGCCAAATCCTTGTTGGGGTGCCTGCCGAGGTACTGTACGTGATAATTCTACCCGATGTTTTCGTTAGCAACACGACGGTAACCAACTTCGCCCAGTAGAATCGTCTCGCAGCATGCCAGTCCGAGGTTTCGCGACAGCTGCTCTTGACTGCGCCTTTCGGGATTCCCCTTGCAAGGGGGGCCAACTTTCTACAAATTCGAGGAGCGCATTTCACATTTCCAGCAGCTCCCTCCCATTCCATCCAAATTTGAGATTTTCCGAGTACCTCCGTTCTGGTGTTCGTCGGAGCTGCGGGCTTTCCCAGCAGCAGCAGCATCAGCAGCAGTAGCGGCCCGTAGTGTGACCCGTCATTGAGACCTCCTTTTCACCAAACTTCTCCGAGCGCTTAGATCTTCTCACCTCACGCGTGCGGCGTCTCTTCCAAGGTGCGTTGCGCTCAAACTTTGAAGCCGCATGAGAAACGCATTCCTTGGACCGGATGAGGCTTCTAACACAGCGGCTGAGGTTACGTCACTTTGCTGAGGTTCTATACTTTCACGAGTCATTCTCTGTTGCAGGTTGCTGGTCTCGCGTTGCTGCTTCCTGCAATTTCTGTGCCTGGTATTGTTCGATTCTTCCACGTTTTTCCTCTACTGCTTTTTCGCATTGCAGTACACTCGTGATCCGGCTTTTTCACTCAGAACTTGTTGCGCGCCGCTTTTTAGTAGTTCTGTCCTCCGGCGTGCGCTCATTAGAAATTTCAAGAGCCTCGTGTCAACGAAGACGGCGGGCAGCTCGACGATGCAGCCTTCGCGGCTCGTCTTAACCTCGCGCGGCTCGCATCTCGCATCGGCCTCATTACCGTCACACTCCTTATCCTCGTCTCCGTCTCCTTATTGTCACGGCCATCAGAGCTCTCGTTTCCACCGCCTTTTCCCGTTGAATGCGGCGGCAGGCTTCTCATATCCAACAAGATTCCGCAAGAGTTCAACGCAGTCAACGCAGTCAACGCGGCTCACTCGGCCATCAGCGCAGTCAGCGCATTTTGGGACGCTCGCCAATCCTAAGGCGGACGACGTGCAGGCTCAGTTCGGAAAGGACAAAATCGTCATCATGAAGATCGCGGTTCTGGGCGGCACTGGCAACGTGGGGTCGAAGCTGGCTCAGAGGCTCTGCGCTGCGGGGCATGACGTCGTGCTGACGTCACGTAATCCGGGGGATGAGAAGGTAAGGTTTGCAGCTTTTCGTTAATGCGGTGGTGGCATTGGTGATAACGCATGGTTACGATGTGGTAACATGTGGTAACATGCGGTGATGTAGCGCACTGAACCTATTCCCACCCGTCTGCACCGCTGTCTTCCTCGTTTTGTTTCCCCTCGTTTGTTCAGACTGCCAAGGCGCTAGCATATGTGAAGGATGGGGGCAAGAGGGTAGCAACAGCACCGCTTTGAACCTATTCCAACCCATCTGTACCGCTCTCTTTCAATTATTACTATCCCTGCTTGCGTGCAGACTGTCAAAGCGCTAGCATATGTGAAGGAGGGAGGCAAGGGAGCGGCAACGGCGGCAGGAGTGGCAGAGGCGGTGGAAGGCGCTGACGCTGTGATCGTTGCCACGCCGGGATATGCCACTGCGGAGGAGTGGAGCAAGGTGGGTAAAGCGGTTTGCGGAATTCCTAAATTCAGAGTTGATGGTTGATGCAGGGATGTTTGTAACATTGAGCACCACATTTGTTAGGACATGTCATTGTTGACGGGTGGAGCAATGCCAAGTGCTAGTTGCGAAAACCTGCTGATATTGTTACAGATTTCTCCAACTGTTGAAGCGCACCAACGTGAAATAAGTGAGCTCTTGAGACTCGCTTATTTCAACGGTTGGAAGTGTACCAACAATATTCCGTACCCTCTTCTTTCGACTCTCCTCTACTTCCGTGTGTGCTTTCTCTCCTCTTTTCAGGTGCTGCCTCCCTTAGCGTCATACGCAGGAGTGGTGCTGGATGCCTGTAACCCCTTGACTGCCGGGCTGGCATTGGCCATCAGTGTGCATAGAGAAGGCGACTCACCTGCCTGCCTCTTCCTCCCTGCCGGCCTCTGCCGGGCCGGGGATTGTTCCCTCTGCAATCCCCGTGTCAGGTGGTGGCCGCCTTTGCGTCATACGCGGGGGTGGTGCTAGATGCAGCAAACCCCTTGACTGCCGGGCCGGGGTTGGAGGTCAATATGCGTAGAGAAGACGGTTGAACGGCCGGGCCGTGGTTGGAGGTCAATACGGATTAGAAACAGGCAACTGACCCGCGCGCCACTTCCTGCCTGTTGCCTCTACGCCCCCCCGTGGCAGGTGGTGGCTCCCTTTGCGTCATATGCAGGGGTGGTGCTGGATGCGTCTAACTCCTTGACTGCCTGGTCGGGGTTGGAGATATCAGAAAGCGACTGACTTGCTCTGCCCTGCCCTGCCTTGCCCTGCCCTGCCCTGCCCTGCCCTGCCCTGCCCTGCCCTGCCCTGCCTCTCCTCTGGTTCTCATCCTCCCTGTCGTTTCGCCTTCCATCTGTCAGGTGGTGGCTCCCTTTGCGTCATACGCGGGGGTGGTGCTGGATGCGTCCACGGGATCAGTGCGGACCACAGGAGCACCAGCACCCGAGACCTATCCCCTTCCATGCCCCCTCTACCGTCTCCCCCCCCGTGTCAGGTGGTGGCTCCCTTTGCGTCATATGCAGGGGTGGTGCTGGATGCGTCTAACTCTTTGACTGCCTGGCCGGCTCTGGAGATCGGTGTGGATCACAGGAGCACCAGTGGTGGAGAGGAGCTGAAAAAGGTGATTTTAAGGGGAGGTGTCTTTACAGGGTGGTTGAGAGTGTGACTGTAAGGTGATTGTAAGCGGGAGTTAGAGGAGGTGACAGGGAGGCAGGGAAGTTGATTTTGAAAGAGGCGGTAAAAATTAGTGATTGTCAAGGGTGGTTGAAATCGTGACTGCAAAGGGAGGCTGAGGAGGTGATTGTACAGAGAGGAATTGAGGAGCTGAGGAGCTTAGGTGGTTGAATTGAGGAGCTGATTTGATCCACATATTTTACTCAATCCTCTCACCCCCTGGTCGAGGCCCTCCCCACGCACACGTGTACTACTCAAAACTAGGCGTTCAACACCGTATGGGCTGAGCTCATGGTGACCCTCCCGTGTTCCCTCTCCATGCACGCCTCTCTCACCGCTCTTAACCCCTCTCCAGACCATCCCTCACACACACATGTTCAAGGCGTTCAACACCGTCGGGGGCAGAGCTCGTGGGTGACCCACAGTCGCTTCTCCCATATCCCTCTCACCCCTCACTCACCCCTCGCTCACCCCTCGCTCACCCCTCGCTCACCCCTCTCGACCCCTGTCAACCCCTCTCAACCCCTCTTCAGGCGCTTCCCGACGCACACGTGCACAAGGCGTTCAACACCGTCGGGGCAGAGCTCACGGTGACTCCCCCCTCCCTCAGACCCCGCACCCCTCTCAACCCCTCTCAACCCCTTTCAACCCCTCTGAACCCCCGTCTAGGCCCTCCCTAACGCACATGTGTACAAGGCGTTCAACACCGTCGGAGCAGAGCTCATGGTGACACCAACACTGGGAGGAAAACCGGTCGCCATGCTGTTTGCTGGCTCTGAAGACGCTGCTGCCAAGGAGACTGCCACCAAGGTGCGTAGAATGTGCTATGTGTATGCACATAGTGTATCCGAGCATCCGTGTATGCACATAGTGTATCCGAGCATCCGTGTAAGCACACTCATCCACACTCACCCATGCATCACCAATCCAACCATCCACCCATCCACCCCGCAAGCTCACACATCCCCATTTCCTCCCATCCTCGGTCAGATCATCGCAGCCATTGGATCTCGCCCCGAGTACGCGGTTCCGCTGCCCCTCCGCTACAACCCCCTCACGCGCGTGGTGCCCCTCACGCGCGTGGTGCTCCTCACGCGGGATCTCATGGTGCATCCCCCCATCATGCCATGTGCCCATCACCAGGTCATCTCAGCCGTTGGATTCCGCCCCGAGTACGTGGGGCCGCTGCGCTACGCGCGTAACCTCGAGAGCTTTGCGGAGCTGTGGGTGCACCTGGCCCTCAAGCAGGGGTGGCCGCGCGACGGGTTCGCATTCGACATTCAGAAGGCGTAGAGGAGAGAAGGTGCAGGGGGTTGCATATTGCAATCTCGAGAGCTTTGCATCAAGCAGGGGTGGCCGAGGAGTGGGTTTGCCTTAGGCATTCAGAAAGCATAGAGGAGGGGTTGCAGGGTTTGGTTGGAGGGAGGGGGAGGGGGACGGGGAGGGGGAGGGGGTGGGGAGGGGAGGGGGACGGGGAGGGGGAGGGGGTGGGGAGGGGAGGGGGAGGGGGAAAGGGTGGGGGTGGGGACCAGAGGGGGAGGGGGAAGGGGAGGTGAGATGTTGGGGGAGGACAGCTGGGAGCAATGATAGGATGTGCATGTACCATACCATGTTGGGAAATGGTGTTATTATAAATTTCCAAGGTGATGGTTCACTTGTGTGCTTCATAATTCCAGTATTTTGATTACTACAGAATAAAGCACTTGAATTGGATGCATGGTACCAGCAAGTACACCCACACATGTACATGTCATATGTGCTTGCTGTATGAAATGTTCCACATGCAGTGTCAGATTTTTAGTGATGGATGGAGAAAGTGGTTAAAATCGAGTCCACCGATGTACAGTAGTTTTCTCTGTACTTTGTCAAAATCAAACATGTTACGATCATGTGTTAGACTCACACTATAACAGGCCCTCTAAACATGCTGCCAGCTACAGGGTCAGAACCAAGCAGGAAACAAACAAAAAGAGCACCATCTGCTAGACAAACAAACCCCCAAACTGTGTGACCGAAACATATTCGCTGTTACGCGTCTATCTAGGTGGAAAATTCTCCATCATACCACAGAGTTCAGCAACAGATGGCGTTGTTTGCACCACCACCAGCAACAGCAGCTGCAGCAGCTGCAGCAGCAGCAGTGGCAACACCAGGGCCTACACATTGCACTGGAGCAAGGTGGAAGCAAGTGGCTTACGGAACGTGACCCACCCAACCAATTGACAAAGAGCCGGCCAAGCAAAGCAACATGCTGCAGATTGCGCCGCGGGGGTCTGCAGATTCTTGATTGCGATTGCGACTCCCGAGCTCAAGAGCCATTGCTGCAGTCAAGAACAGATCCTGTCAAGGGCATCTCTCAAGAGCTCAAGTCCCTAAGGCAGCCGAGACACATGTGCTTTAAAGAACCCCCTCTGAGAGGGTCTCTGGACTGGAGCCTAGGAAGTCTGAAACTTCTGGAAACACAACGGTGCATAGCTGGCTAGCCGATGGCTCAACACACGGGCTTAATAAGCCGCTAGAAGGCTAAGACGGAGGAGGAGAATACGGTAATAGATGGGTCTTGTATGAAGGTGCAGGCTGATACAGACACTGATGACGGAGTGCATGAGTGCCTGATTGCATGGGTGCATGATTGCATGGGTGCATGATTGCATGGGTGCATGATTGCACGCACGAGGAGGAGGAACGGGAGCAGGAGGAGGAGGAGCGGGAGCAGCGGAAGCAGGAACAGGAGGAGGAGCAGGAGCAGCTGATGCACACGAGGAGGAAGGCGGCAATAAAGGGTAAACTAGGAGGTGACGAGGAGCAGGTTAGGAGGGTCTGCTACACCAGCAGGGCTGCTACACGAGAAGGTGGCCGTTCTGACGCCTTGTGTGCTCGGGCACAATCCGACGCACCAGCTCGATGGGCACTCCCTTGAACTCCTGCTTGGGGGAAAAGGGGGGGGGGGGGCGGGCACGAAGGGGTGGGAGGAGGGAGAGGGAGGGTGGAGAGGCAGAGATAGAAGGAAGATGCATGGTTGGCGCATGGGGACGGGACAACATTACCCGATTCAAATTTGATTATTTGATGGCCCAGATTTATCGGCGTTACGTTTGAGAATACATGGATATCTTCAAGGGTGTTCAACGGAATTCTCAACAGTAACACCCTTGAACTTTCCCTGTGAACGGGGTAAGGATGATAGACGGATGGACTATGGATACATGGATAACTTTGAAGGCGACTCAACAATCCAACGGACCACCTTCATCGGCACAGCTTTGAACTTCTGTTTCAGAACAAGGTATAAGATTGATGGGCTGATGGATGTACACGAGGAGAAGAGAAATGGACTTTGAGAATTCTCAAAAAACATACACATGGGGCATGACACAGAACACTGAGGCGAATCATGCCATACATGCCATGACAAGAAAAACACATATGGAACACACGATTTAAATAAGAATATTGGTGCGTCATGGCAAGACGCAATGCCACTACATGCACACATTCTAGTAATGTGGCTTCGGAACCTTTTATCCTTGCTCACCTCTTTCTTGAAGTTGAAGAGGGGAGGCAGCGGCTTGCCATTAGGCAGCCTGGTGTTGGGGTCCTTGATTTCGTCAAAGAAGGGATGCACCAACGCCTCCGCCTGCAACACACAGAGCACAGAAAAGGGGTGTATGAAAGAGAGAGCAGGCAACTTAGAAACGGCTCCGTAAAAAGCCTGATGTTGGGGTCCATGATTTCGCTGGAAACGGGATGCATCAGCAGCACCTCTGCCTGCCAAAAGCAGCTCAGGCAGGGCAGGCAGCACAGGGAGGAGAGCCATGCCGTTCAAGAAGCAGATTAGGAAGGGGCGGTACAGAAGCTAGGACGAGACGGTGGACAGGTACACAGCCGAACAGAAGCACAGGGGTGGGGTGGGGTGGGGTGAGGTGGGGACACTCATGCCATGCCGCCTTTCATCCATGTCTTACAGCGGTGCAGCGTAGGTTCGGGGAGTACTGCAGCAGCCGTGAGACGAGGTCCACTGCCTCTGCCGGCACCCGCTTAGAGAAGACCTGGGGGGAGGGGGAGGGGGGGGAGAAGATGGAGGGGTGGAGGGGAGGGGATGGGGTGGGTGCGGAGGTTAAAGGAGTCCTGCTGCTGCCGCAAAACGAGATCCACTGCTTCTGCCGGCACCTTCTTGGAAAAGGCCGAGGGAAAAGGCCGGGGGGGGGGGGGGGGGGGGGGGGGAGGAATTCATGCACGAGGGTAAAATGTGAGTCAAAAGTTTTGACTCAAAACAGAGCAGAGCACACACGAATGCAACACAGCGCACCCGCACCCAGCACACATGCTTATAGCACACCCGCACACAACACCCACCCACACAACTCACACCCACCTTGTGCCAGGGATGTGCCTTGATCTGCGGGAACTTGAACTCCGTGTAGTTGGGGTTCATGCACTTGATCTCCTCCCTTGTTGGTGAATCGTGAGGGAGAGCACACACATATACAACACAACACACACACGCTTCACACATGCACACAGCACACACCCACCTTGTGCCAGGGGTGTGCCTTGATCTGCGGGAACTTGAACTCGGTGTAGTTGGGGTTCATGCACTTGATCTCCTCCCGTGTTGGTGAATCGTGAGGGAGAGCACACAGCACAGCACAGCACACACCCACCTTGTGCCAGGGGTGTGCCTTGATCTGCGGGAACTTGAACTCGGTGTAGTTGGGGTTCATGCACTTGATCTCCTCCCGTGTTGGTGAATCGTGAGGGAGAGCACACAGCACAGCACAGCACACACCCACCTTGTGCCAGGGGTGCGCCTTGATCTGCGGGAACTTGAACTCCGTGTAGTTGGGGTTCATGCACTTGATCTCCTCCCTTGTTGGTGAATCGTGAGGGAGAGCACACAGCACAGCACAGCACACACCCACCTTGTGCCAGGGGTGCGCCTTGATCTGCGGGAACTTGAACTCCGTGTAGTTGGGGTTCATGCACTTGATCTCCTCCCTTGTGGGCGTTCCCAGGACCTTAATAATTTCCACCAGCTGATCCACCCCGCTCTCGCCCGGGAACAGCGGCTGATACACGCAGAGCAGAGGGGGGGGGGGGGGTGAGGAGATGGGAGGGCAGGAGGCGAGTGTGAGAGACAAAAAGTGCATCGGTGTTCCCAGCACCCTAATAAACGCCATCAGCTGATCACCCCAGACTCGCCTGGGAACAGAGGCTGATACACACAGCGGCGGAATGGGGGAAAGTGAGAGAGAGAGAGCAGGGAGACAGTGTGAGGGAGAGAGGAGGTAGGTTGGTGTTCCCGGCACCTTGATGATCTCTCGCCTGGGGACAGAGGCTGATATGCGGAAGGAAAGAGAGGGGAGAGAAAGGGAGAAGGAGAGGGGGCATATGAGCGAATGATTGGTGGGGTCAGACTAGGCGTTCCCAGCCCCTTTATTCCTACCAGCTGATCCACCCCCGCTCTCACCCGGAAGCACAGGCCCCAGAAACAGAGGCTGATGGCGGGAAGAGAGAGTGGGAGGAACAGAGGCTGTAGCAGGGATGAGAATTACGAAGCAGAGAGGGGAGAGGAGAGGGGGAGGGGGAAGGGGGGAGGAAGAGAGGGGGGATGAAGGAAGGGAGTGTGTGTGAGAGAGAGGGTGTACACCAGTGTTCCCAGCACCTAGACAGATCCTCCCCCCACCAGCTAATCCACAAGGCTCTCTCCTGAGGATGCATCAGATGACTTTTGAGTCGACTAAAAAATCCACCCGGCTCTCTCCTGAGGATGCATCAGCGAGAGGGAATGTCGGGTTGGGGAGGAGGGGGGGAAGGGAGAGATGGGGGACATGCTGGTTCCAACGATAAACGAAGGGGGAAGGAGGGAAATGGATACAGAACAGAGGCCGCCTACAGTCAGCTGCCCAGATGTCATGTGAATGGCTGTGTTTTTTGAGAATTCTCAAAAAACTTATGATGTCATGTCAATGGCTGTGGTGTACTTCGTGGCTTGACAGGAGACACCAAGATAGGAGTGAGTCGGAGAGAAGGGGGAGAGAGATAGTGAGTAGGGGGGGGGGGGGGGCGGTGGGGCGGGCTCACCTGCCCCAGCAGCAGCTCCGCCATGACACATCCAGCGGACCAGATGTCAATGGCTGTGGTGTACTCCGTGGCTCCAGAGAGATATAGAGAGAGGGGGTGGGATGGGGAGGGAGGGAGGGGGAGAAGGAACGGGGGCGAAGAGAGAAAGAAGGGGAGGCGCCTCACCTGCCCCAGCAGCAGCTCCGCCATGACACAGCCAGCGGACCAGATGTCAATGGCTGTGGTGTACTCCGTGGCCCCAAAGATGAGCTCTGGCGCGCGGTAGTAGCGCGAGCAGATGTACGAGATGTTGGGTTCGCCCTTCACCTGCATGCAATGACAGTGATCGTAAGGAGAGGAGGCGCATGTCACCGGGCAGGGACACGGGCACAGGCAGTTACGAAGATGAGAAAGAAGATGAGCTCTGGTGCGCAATAGTAGTGCGAGCTCGCCCTTCACCTGCATGCAACGCAATGACAGTGATCGCAAGGGGAGGAGGTGCATGTCACCGGGCAGGGACACGGGCAGGGACACGGGCAGGGCAGTTACAAAGATGAGAAAGAAGAAACACAGGGGCTTCGAGGCGCCTCAGAAGATGAGCTCTGGTGCGCAGTAGTAGTGCGAGCAGATGTACGATATGCTGGGCTCGTCCTTCACCTGGAGAGGAATGATCAACATGCATGCAGAGATGAGGTAACAGAGGGTTAAAACTTAGAGGAGCACGTGGGCCGTTGAGGTGCCTTAGAAGATGAGCTCTGGTGCCCAGTAGTAGTGGGAGCAGATGTATGATATGCTGGGCTCGCCCTTCACCTGCAGTGGGAGTGTTCAGTGAGAAGAGGGTTAGAACATAGAGCATAATAGGCTGCAGCAGCCTCAAACCACACAACAGGAGGAACAACAAGGAAGGTGGGCGCAGAAGCCAGAAAGGTCATGAACAGTGGAAACACAGGACAGGACAGGAAGGAGCACAAAAGTGATGTTTGAGATGTCTCAAAAGCAGGAACACGGATCTGGCACCAAGCTTGGCATGCACGCGAGTGTATAGACTAACCAGGACTTTTGCGCTTCCGAAATCGCACAGCTTGAGTTGATGCGTGTGCGGATTGACCTGCCGACGGAAATGGAGAGCGAGTGTTGGTGGGGGGAGGAAAGAGGGGGGGGGGGGGGAGAAGGGGAGAGGAGAGCGGTAGGGGAGAGAGGGTGTTGGGGGGAGGGGAGAGGAGAGAGGGAACAATGATGATAAGAACCATTGAGTGACAAAGAAGGCAGGCAGTAGCAGGAAAAAACTGATATGGACCTTAAGAAAGGTATGGCAGAGGAATGTACGAAAGTAAAAGAGATGGTGATTTGTAGGTATGGCAGAAAGGTGGTTGCAATGCAAACGGACATAGGGGAGGGGGATGGGAGAGGGAAAGGGAAAGAGCATGGGGAACGGAATGGGAGGTGGGAGAGCGGCAAGGAGGGAAAACGAGGGGAATAATGGCTCGTGTGAAGGGTGTAGAGTGATGCGATGGACGGTGGTTGGTTGGTATCACTTCAGCTGTTCTTACGAGAAGGTTTTGCGGCTTGATATCGCGATGACACACGCCGATGCCGTTGTGAATGTACGCCAGCGCTCGACAAATCTGCACAAGGGGAAAGGAAAGGAACAGCCCAAACACACACCACAATTTCGCAATAAAACGACACAAAACGGAGAAAACAGGAATTAGGACTCGCAAATAGCGCATGAGAGGTAGAATCCTCCTGTTGCAGGCAGCTGAAAAGGGGAGTGGGAAGAAGGGGGCCGGGAACGGGAAGGAGTGGAGCGGCACCAGGGGAACATGAACGAAAAAAAAGTTTCAAGCGAAAAATGAAGCGGCGGGGCGGACGTGAGTCGACAACGAGTGAATAGGCGGCAACACATGGAATGGTTGACGGGGGGAGGGAGGAACAGGGTGAACGGGAGGGAAGATGAGAAGATGCAATGGGGTGTGTGTGGTGTGGATGGTAAATCGTACAGGCCATCCTATTATGTTCGCCTCATAGGCACACACCCATCAACACAAACACACACACGCACGCAATCGTGGATGCACCCCTTCTTCCCCCCCTCGAGCACCAGGTTCAGGTACAGCTCGTCCTTGTCCGTCGTCGAGAAGAAGCAGTGCCGCAGCGCCACCCCCACGCTCCCGTGTGTGCGCCCCCACACGCACACGCACACATGGATGAACGCTTGCACTCTCACACACACCCTCTCCCCCCTTCCTTCCCCCTTCCTCCCCCCCCCCCCCCCCCCCCACCCTCTCCCGCCCCTCTCCCTCTCCCTCTCCTCTCTCGTCCTCTCTCTCACGCTCTCTCACACACACCAGCGCACGCGCAGGGGCGGGCGGCGGGCGCACCTGGTAGGTGTAGAGCTTGACGTAGAGCAGCGGCATGCGCTGGTTCATCTTGGTGTAGTGCTTGGTGATGCGGTAGACGGTCTCGGGCACGAACTCGAGCACCAGGTTCAGGTACAGCTCGTCCTTGTCCGTCGTCGAGAAGAAGCAGTGCCGCAGCGCCACCCCCACGCTCCCGTGTGTGCGCCCCCACGCCCACACGCACACACGGATACTAGCACCCACGCACACACTCTCTCCCCCTTCCCCCCCTCCCCAACCCCCCCCCGCCTCCCCCTCTCTCTCTCTCTCTCCCGCTCCACTGTCCTCCCCTTTGCTCTCTCCCACGGTCTCAAGGAGACCCGGGCGGCGGGCGCACCTGGTAGGTGTAGAGCTTGACGTAGAGCAGCGGCATGCGCTGGTTCATCTTGGTGTAGTGCTTGGTGATGCGGTAGACGGTCTCGGGCACGAACTCGAGCACCAGGTTCAGATACAGCTCGTCCTTGTCCGTCGTCGAGAAGAAGCAGTGCCGCAGCGCCACCACGTTCGGGTGCTCCAGTAGCCGCATGATCTGCAGCTCGCGGTTCTTGTAACGCTTGTCCTGTAACACCTTCTTTATCGCCACCGTTTCGCCCGTCTCCAAACAGGACGCCTGGGAGAACGGGAGGGGGCGAAGCGACGCGTGTGCGATTGAGGGAGGAATTGATTTGAGGCGCGAGAAAGCATGGTCTGTCTGCAGGTCGCGGTTCTTGTAACGCTTGTCCTGTAACACACTTTCTATATCGCCACCGTTTCGCCCGTCTTCGAAAACGGCACTGCCACACCCTCGTCTGTTAAGAGCCTGAGATTGGCTCCAGAAAACTGGAACCACATTTGCGCGCATGGAAACAACGTCGGAATATCGAGCCTGGAAGATTTATATCCAGCACATGGACATCAATCGTCTAGTTCGCTCTATCTGTCCATTATGAAAAACAAGGACGCTAAAGGAACGTGGTCAGGGAACGACAAGAGGCTTCTTACCTGGAATACAACTCCAAACGAACCGTTCCCCACCACGCGCTCCGCCGAGTAGCTGATGGCCTGCAATTGAAAGCGACATCACAATGGCAACGCAGGAGAACAAGACAGGCCGTTTGGCTTTCAAAATATAGCAGCCAAACGGAACTATAGTAGGGAGTAATGGAGTTGGAGTTGTTTGGAGCGCATGGAGATTACCGATACTGATTATACGAGACGCGCCAGCGATAGCCAAGAGAAGTGAAGTCATGGATATGGCGGGAGATCAACGATCGAGGGAAAAGTAGGTGTTGACAACAAGCAACTAACAACGACAATGGGCCGCCACCATCGCGGGTTGCGAAGGTCGGTTGCGACGGGAACGGGATTCAGGGAATCGCGTAATGTTCTGAAACGTTTGGAAAGCCGTCGCGAAGGGAGCGGGGATGCTGGAAGAGCGTCATTACGTTGCGACTCACTGATCAGCGACACGATGCGCGGGAGAAGGTGAAATGCTGGTACCAATATGACGATTCTTTCACGCGCGTCAAGTGCCAACGACGACGCAAGGTGGAAACTCAGTGAACGAAAATAAACGGCGCGTCGTGAATATGATGAGACATTTACAGGAAAACGCCGACGGCAGAGTTCACCTCACTTCTACGCATCACAAAAACACATGGGACTTTTGGCCGGGATGAAGCTACGGTAGAGTTAAATTAATTATATAAAAAGCACGAACCTGTTTTGGCTGACCATTCTTTCCTCCAATCGTGGTCGTAATTATGTGACCTGTCTCTGTTCCGCTTCCCTCCACGACTGCAGCATCCATGTCCTAAAGATATCATGAAACAAGCCGCAACGCAAAGGTTAGTACAGCGATAGCTGATGCGCATTTCCTGCTTTCACTGAATTAATGAAGCGCCAGAGAAAAGAAAAGAAAACACTTACCGTCCTTAACTAATGAATGCGATCTTACGTGCACGTCAAGGGTAACAGAATATAAATAATAAAAAACGCCGGAGACAGCGAAACCGGCAATGCGCAATACGTCGACTCTCTCTCACCCGGTCGTCGTCTCGAATGGTCATGTCTTTTAATTCCCTCGGTAATTGCTCTGCTCCACCACCTCCCCCCCTCGTAGCCCTGCTTCCTGAAGCGGCGGCAGCTCCGGCACTGCTAGATGCGCCCAGAAACACACCACCGCTAGAAGACGCCATAACGCGGATAACGCGTATCGAACAGGACCGCGAGCAGCTGGCTACGGTTTATTTCTCTACGATTTGGAGAGTGAAGCTCAAGAAACAATAACGCAAGATTGAGAGAAGCTTAAAACGCGACGTCAATGCAAGCCGCTGTGTCCTGTCCTTTACACTACTTCATGCCAGCTCCAATCTTAGCAGCTCCCTAGCCATGAGGCGAAACCCTAGCCTTCTCCATCTACGACCTACAGATCCAATCACGCTCTGGGAAACAATACCACGTCTCCCGTGCGATGCGGAGAATGGCGACGACTGACAACAACAGCCTAGGGTTTGCAAGGCGGGAAACTACAGGAACAGAGGAATGGAGCTAGCGGGGAGAGAAACAGCAGCAGACTGAAAAACGGGATCCAAAAAGTTCCTAATGAAAAAACAGGCTCCGATTGTAGGTTGTTCCAACTTCCAGCTGCAAGAGCACAGCTCCAGCTCAGACTAGAGGACGAAACATTTCCTAGGGATTGACGAGCTGAACGGACAAAAGTTTGGTTGGAGGAAACTGAAACCGTTGAGGTTGTGCGGACGGAAATCGCTGGTGGGGACGGAAATCGCTGGTGGGAACGGAAATCGCTGGTGTGGACAGAAATCGCTGGTGGGTTGGGACGGAAGTCGCCAAACAAGGACCACATAACGCCATGACGACGGGGAAGTCTGCTGGTTGTGAATTGGCAGCGACTGTTCGTCCGTAGCAGCTAAGTTGACGGCTTGGCGAACATACACTGACGGCCGACAACTACTGGAGTTTCAGCTCAGTTAAGACCGAAAATTTGGAAGTTCAAATTGTTACAGACACTGGCAGCACCAAGGTTTGGCAGCAGTTCTGAATAATAAAATAAAATTTCACCAGAAAAATGCACATTGTTTATAGTAATGTTAACTAGGTGACCTCATACAACTCGCTCGATTCAAATCCTTCCATTTGGTGCATGAAACAAAATGAATGCCTAGTAAAAATGATGGAGCAGTAATTGCACTCAGCAATATCAGAGTGCAGATACATGTATCCATGGATGTCCTGCAGTAAGAGACATCATAGGATAAGGGACATCGAGGAGAGGGGGTGGGTGAGGAGGTGGGGGGGTAGGGCTCGGGGGGACTGGGAGAGGAAGAAAGCTGGGAAAGCAGCAAAAATGGGGGTGGAGTGGTACCATCGTTCATACCACGAGACTACAGCGAGCTACAAAAAAAAAAGAACAAGAAACTCAACCAAACACTCACCAAGTATCTCTAAAGCCGTTATTCGCCGCTTCGGGTCCTTATCCAGCATCCGGCCAATCAAATCCTTGCACTCCTCCGGCACGCCAGCCCACTTGGCGCTCTTAAAGCTGACCTCCTTCCCTCGAATCGCCTCCGCAAGCGAGCGATTGGACGAAGCCCAGAAGGGCGGCACGCCACACATGGCAATGTACATGACAACTCCGGCGCTCCACACGTCCACCTCGGGGCCGTACTCCCCCTGGATGAGCTCCGGTGCCATGTACTGCGGCGTTCCCATCAGCTCCTTCAACCTCTCTCCTGTTGGTGGGAGAGAGTGAGAGAGAGGGAGCGTGTGTGTGTGAGAGTGTGTGTGTGTGTGTGTGTGTGAAAGAGAGAGAGGGAGAGGGGACGGTGGATTGGACAAGGCCCAAAAAGGCGGCACTCCACACGTCCACCTCGGGCCCGTACTCCCCCTGAATGAGCTCCGGTGCCATGTACTGCGGCGTTCCCATCAGCTCCTTCAGTCTCTCTCCTGTTATCAAGTGGGTGTGTGTGGTGTTGATACTAAAAAAAACGACTCCCAATATAGCTGCCCGTATTCCCCCTGGTACACCAACAGCAGCACAGCCGCGCACCCCCTCCCGCGCCGTAGGGCTCCCTCTCAACCCCTTACAACCCCTCTCAACCCCTCTTTCCCCTCATCCCCTTTCCCCACCCCCCCACACACCAAACCAAACCAAGCTCACCTTCCTGGAAGGAGGTCGCGATGCCGAAATCAACCAGCTTAATATCACTATTAAGCTGCCTGCTTGTAAGGAGGATGTTTTTGGGCTTCACGTCGCGGTGCACGATGCCATGGCGGTGGCAGTGCAGCAGCGCCGCCACCAGCTGTAGGGATCCCCCTCAACCCCCCATTCCCCTCACCCCCTTCCCACCCAAACAGACCACAAACCAAACCAGACGCACCTTCCTGGAAGAAGGTAGCAATTCCAAAGTCCACGAGCTTGATGTCGCTGTTAAGCTGCCTGCTTGTAAGGAGGATGTTTTCGGGCTTCACGTCGCGGTGCACGATGCCGTGGCGGTGGCAGTGCAGCAGCGCCGCCACCAGCTGCGCACACAGCCGTGCCCCCGCTGCTGCGCTGTAGGGGCCGTCTTTTGCCACTCGATCAAATAAGTCCCCTCCGGTACACAGCTCCATCACCATGTGCACGTGCTGTTTGGTAAGTGGGGGGAGAGAAAGGGGGGAACATTGGTGGCAGTGCAGCAGTGCCGCCAGCAGCTGCGCACACAGCCTCGCCCCCGCTGCTGCACTGTAGGGGCCGTCTTTTGTCACTCGATCGAAGTGGTCTCCTCCTGTACACAGCTCCATCACCATGTGCACGTGCTGTTGTGGGGGGGGAGAGAGGAATGGGAGGGGAGGAGAATGGGGACATAGTTGGCAGTAGCAGTGCAGCAGCACCGCCACCAGCTGTGCACACAGCCGTGCCCCCGCTGCTGCGCTGTAGGGGCCGTCTTTTGCCACTCGATCAAATAAGTCCCCTCCGGTACACAGCTCCATCACCATGTGCACGTGCTGTTTGGTAAGTGGGGGGAGAGAAAGGGGGGAACATTGGTGGCAGTGCAGCAGTGCCGCCAGCAGCTGCGCACACAGCCTCGCCCCCGCTGCTGCACTGTAGGGGCCGTCTTTTGTCACTCGATCGAAGTGGTCTCCTCCTGTACACAGCTCCATCACCATGTGCACGTGCTGTTGTGGGGGGGGAGAGAGGAATGGGAGGGGAGGAGAATGGGGACATAGTTGGCAGTAGCAGTGCAGCAGCACCGCCACCAGCTGTGCACACAGCCGTGCCCCCGCTGCAGCGCTGTAGGGGCCGTCTTTTGCCACTCGATCAAACAAGTCTCCTCCCGTGCACAGCTCCATCACCATGTGCACGTGCTGATTGGTGAGGGGAAGGGGAGGGAAGAGGAGGAGGGACGTTGTTAGCGATGGCGGTGGCAGTGCAGCAGTGCCGCCACCAGCTGCGCACACAGCCTGGCGCCCGCTGCTGTGCACAGCTCCATCACCATGTGCACGTGTTGTTGTGGGGAGGGGCGTGGATGCGGGAGTCGACTCAAATCCAGACCTGTCATGCCGTACTATGCAGTGTACCTGTCATGCCGTACTGTACCTGTCATGCCGTACTGTACCTGTCATGCCGTACTGTACCTGTCATGCCGTACATAGTTCCATCGTCCACTGTGCCGTGCAGCCAAGCTATGAATGGATGGCCCTGCAACATGGAGAGAGTACCTGTTGTTTCCCAACTTGGTCAAAAACCTTTTCCCAAGCCTGTTCCCAAGCCTGTTCATATGCCGTACCTTCCTGTCCTCCACGGTGTCATGCAGACGAACTATGAAGGGTTGGCCCACGCACAAATGTGAGGTCCGCACAACAAGGAAAGCCCATTCCGTTCACAATCTCTTCCCACACCTGTTCCACAGCCCTTTCCCTCCCAAGGCTATCTCACCGTACCTTCCTGTCCTCCACAGTGTCATGCAGGCGAACAATGAACGGGTGGCCCTGCAGCATGAAGATCACATTCCGTTACCACTCTGTTTACCGAACCTGTCCCGAACCTGTCCCGCCGTACCTTCCCGTCTTCCAGAGTGTCGTGCAGCAGAACAATGGAGGGATGGCCCTGCGGTATAGCGAGCCTAACAGTCACCACTCTGTCTGCAAACCCGTTTCCCGACCTGCTCCCAAGCCTGTTCCCGAGCCTGTTCCCAAGCCTGTCTCGTACCTTCCTGTCTTCTACTGTGTCATGCAGCCGAACGATGAAGGGGTGGCCCTGCAGCATGGAGAGAGTGGCCACCTCCTTCCTCAAATCCTGAGCCTCCTCGTGCGACTGGTGGCGATGGATATCCAAAACAACAGGGGACGGGGACGAGAGTGAAGTGAAACAGGGAAATTGTTATGAGGCGCCTCAGAAGTAGGGTGGCCCTGCAGCATGGAGAGCGCGGCAACCTCGTCTCTCAAATCCTGAGCCTCCTCGTGCGACTGGTGGATGGACAGACAGGGGATGAAAGAGAGAAACCAGGGAAATGCCTCTGAAGTGCCTTAGGTTAGGATGAAGCAGGACAAATGAAAGAAACTCAGGGAAAAAGGTAAGAGAGAAAGAAAAAAACAAATTAGAAGAGGAGGAGAAGTTTACCCCCCTCACCTTGATCTCAGCCTTCTTGACCGTCTTACACGCCAGCTGCATGCCGCTGCTGATCTCCAGACACCGCCGGATCACCCCGTACTGCCCGCTGCCCAGCTTCTTGTTGTGCAGAATATACCGCGTTCTCAAATCCTCATACGGCTTCTCAAATATGTAGTCTGTGGGGCGAAGGCTGGGGTACGTCCCTCTGTGGTGGTCCTTCAAGCTGCTTACACCTATTGCGTGCCCTTGCAAGGGCCCTATCCCCCCTCCTGGTCGACTGCTGGGCCAGGGTGCGGGTGCGGGTGCAGCAGCAGCAGCACTGGGGGTAGAGGCGTTGCTGGAAGCACAGGCAGCAGCAGCAGCGTCAGCTGCTCTCACTCCTCCCCCTTTCGTTCCGTGCTGATTCTCCTCCTGCTCCTGCTTCTGCTGGGTGTGCTGCTGCTGCTGGTGGGGAAAGAGCAGGGAGGAGGGTCCACCAACAGAGGTCATAGAGAAGCCAGGAGCTGAAGAGGTCTCTGTTCCGCAATAGTACTTCCGGCGATGCTGCTGCTGTTGCTGCTGCTGCTGATGGTGTTGCTGGTGTTGCTGGTGTTGCTGGTGGTGGTGGCGCTTATGCTGTTGCTGCTGATCGGCATCGTGATGAGTATAATACCCTTGCATATCGTTTTCCCCAGCGCTTCCACCCATCCTCCCCTTCCGCACACCACCGCCACCACCACCAGCCACAGCACCAGATGCACCTGCAGCAGCAGCACCAACAGCAGCAGCAGCGCCACTCCCACCACCATCCTTAGCCCTAGCAAGCCTTCTCTCTGCCTGCTGCTCCAGGAGCAACCCAATCTGCTCCTTAGGAACACCCTTCAGCTGAAACCCTGCTAACATAGCAACACCAGTACCAGAAGAAGAGAAGCCAATACTTAGATCTGCATCACTCTCATTCCTGCAGCTTCTGCTGCCAAGCACACCGCTGCCCCCTCCCCCGCCTCCTCCCCGCGCCTCCCACCCTCCCCGGCCCTCGTGCACTGCGGTTTGGTGCGGCAACGGGCCTCCCCCGAGCCTGGCCTTGCCTCGGGCGCCGACCCTGCGGTCGGAGTGGTTGACGAACCTGGCAGGTCGGTCCGGCGAGTCAAACCCTAGGTCACTGTTCACGTCACTGTTCAAATCACTGTTCATGTCGTCTTCCTGTTCATTGTCCTTATCCTTAAACGAGCCAGTGTTGGCTGGGTGGTCTTCTTTGTCTGCTAGCATGTTCGGGCGGATATATTCGGCACTTTGTCGCCGTGGGCGGCGACTCATGGCTGTTCTTGACTCACCACCACCAAACTCAGTGGCAGCACCAGCACCAAGACCAGCAGCAGCCCAAACATCCCGACCCCCACCACTAGCACTGGAAGTAACAGCAGCAGCAACGGCGGCAGCAGCACCGCCACCACCAGAAGCAGTGGTAGCACTACCAAAGGGAACAATATCAGCACCCCCACCCCCAACCCTAACATTACCAATCCTAGCAGCTGCGGCAGCAGCAACGGCTGCAGCAGTTGCAGCAGCAGCAGCAGAATCAGAATCAGCAGCAGGAGAATCATCGTCATCATCATCATCAGCACCATCATCATCACCATCAGCAGCAGCAGCAGCAGCGCCAGGCCGTCTCTCCCTCACATCATGCCCATCAGCCGCACACGACACGCGCCTTGCACGCCGATTGACCTGCTTCTGCTTCTGCTGAAGAGTCGTGACAAAACCTGACACGTCATCAGGTGAATCTCCAGGTATGCCGAGCCTGAATGTGGCTTCCAAGCCTGCCGCTGCCACTGCTTCCACTCCTGCTGCCGAGCCTGCAACTGCCGAGCCTGCGGCTGCCAAGCCTGTGGCCTCCAAGCCTTCTCCTGCCAACACCACGTGAGGCTCGGCACCCGAAGCAGCAGGTTCGGCAAGATCAGCATCTGAATCAACTGCACCAGGAGCAGCAGCAGCAATAGCAGCAGGAGCAGGAGCAGGAGCAGCCTCAGCAGCAGCAGTGTGAAAGAAGGAGGAGAGGACAGGAGAGGGAAGCAGGGACGGCAGAGGGGAGGTTGCAGCGTGACCTCTGCTTGATCCACTACCAGTAGCACCAGCACCACCACCACCAATGCTGCTGCTGCCACCACCAATCAGAGACTTGAGGGTACCAGAAGCAGCAGAGAAGAATCTAGCAATCGGTTGATTACCCCTCCCCACATGCTGCTGCTGCGGCTGCTGCTGCGGTTGTGGTTGCTGCTGCTGCTGGGATGGCAGTGCTGGCTGTGCCAGCTGCCCTTGCGTCTGCTCGCTCTTGCCATCTCCCTTTTCTTTCTCTCTCTCTTTCTCCTCCTGCTTCTGCTCTTGCTGCTTGTGACTCTGCCTCCCTGACAATATCTTAGTAAGGGTTGGCCGTCTGCCGGAGCGACTGGATGGCCGCTGCTGCTGGAACTGCCGCATCTGCCCCTTCTTCTTCTCCTTCTCCTTCTCCCTCTCCTTTTCCTTCTCCTTCTCCTTCTCCCTCTCCTGCTGCTCCTGCTCTGCGAGCAACCTTTCCTCCTGCAACCGCAACTCCTCCTGCTGCTGCAGCAGCAGCTGCTGCTGCCTCATCAGCTCCTCTTGCTGCTTCTGAAGCGCTGCCCGCTGCTGCTGCAACTCCTCCTGCTTCCGAAGAATCTCCAGCTTTTTCTCCCTTTCCCTCTCTCTCTCCCTCTCCGCCTCTTCCTCCTCATCCGTCCCTTCCTCCTCAGGCTCCAGTTCTCCCGAGCCTTGCAAAGAGGCTTGGCGTTGGTTCGGCATGGACAAGCCAACGGGAGAACGAAGAACGGGCGACGCGGTTAAAGAGGGTGGTGGTGACAATGACGGGAAGCGGGACATCCTTCCACCATAATCACTCGTTGCACTTTTACATCCCTTATCGTTTAAAGCACTTTCGCTAGGAGAACGGCGCATGCCCAACCCAACACCACCAGCACCAGCATCGGCACTTAAATCCCCCTCTCGTCTCGAGCTTTGGGACGTCTCAAGACTTAAAGCCTCCTCTCGCGAGCTTTGGGACGTCGCAAAAGTTAAAGCCTCCCGCCGTCGCCGGGAGCTAAGGCTCCTCTCCAGCTCCAATTGGTCCCTCCTCCTTGCACTCAGAGTTCTCTCCAAACCCACCTCTCCGTCTTCTCCTTCCGCTCCCCCACTCTCTCCCCCCTCTCCTCCTCCTCCTCCTCCTCTTCCCCCCCCTCCCATCCCTCCATCAGCGAGTGCAGTTGCAGTGGTAAGTGCTGATGCTTCCCTTCGTCTGGCACTTAGTGTTCGTTCCATTTCCGCCTGGTCTCGCCTCCTAGCACTTAAACTTCTCTCCAGCACCCCATCACCTTCCTCCCCTAACCCTACTCCTCCCCCTGTCTCCGTCTCTCCTACTGCTGACGTGGCAAGAGGCCTCCTCTCGTTTCTCCCCCTCCAACTCACACTCCTCTCCCCCTCCCCGCCCCCTCCTATTCCCCCACGCCCCTTAGGAGAAGCCTCAGAATAATAAGTTGACCCTGATGAATACAAATCTTTTTCTACAGTATAACTGTTTCCCACTGTAGACGCTACAGTGCTACCCCCAAGAGGAGACGCGACGGTCTGAAACGCGAATTCCTGAGCTCCGCGTCTCCTGTTCGGCGATTGGACAACCCCACCGCCCGCTCCCCCTGCGCCCCCTCCCCCGCCACCGCCCACACTCCCCCCTCCGCCAGCGAAAGCCGCCATGCTTGCGCTCCAGCCCCCTAACCCTAATCCCAAGGGCGATTCTTCCCTCCCCACCGAAAAACTTAACCCCAACGATAGCGCCTGCCTCCCGCCTGTTCCCGCCTTCCTATCCCCAGCAATTTCCCTTCCTCCATCATCCCCCTTCCCGCCGCGTCCCCTCCCGCTGCCCCCTCCGCCGCTGTCGTTTCCTTGTGCGCCTCCCCCCTCTCCCCCCTCTCTCCGCGCGACCTCATTCGCGGCGGCGCGAATCTCGGCGCTGATTGCGGGGCCAAGGGACACGTGAGAGAGGAGGCGCGGGCGGGAGAGGGGGGACGAGAGCGGGGGCGAGCGCTCGCGCTCCGCGCGAATGGACGCGCTCGCGCCGCTTGCGCTTCCGCCACTTGCGCTTCTGCCATTTGCACTTCCAACGCTTGCGCTTGCGCGCACACCAGGCACACGTGCGCTTGCGCCACCCGTCCTGCTCCCCCCATCCGCCCCTTCGCCGCTGCCGTTGCCCTTCCCGCTGTACGCGCCGCTAGTACCGCCACCAGCCCCGCTAGCACACTTGGTCGACGTGCTCTCCCGCCTATCGCTGCCAATTTCGCCGCCCCCACTGCTGCCGCCGATGCTGGCGCTGCTGCCGCCGATGCTGCCGCTGCTGCCGTCGCTGCTGCCGCTGCTACCAATCGAGGTCAACTCCCGCCGGCCAGAATATTGCGGCGCTTTTAGCGGACTGCGGTTTCGTATGCTGCCGCTACTGGGGGATTTCGGCATAATAAGGCTTGCTCTCGTTCTCGCGGAAATTCCGGCGGGAAAGGTGGCGCCGTCCGCGGTAGTCTGCACCCGCTCCCGTTCCTTAATAGGCGGCGCCTGTGACTGTGCTTGCGCCTGCGACTGTGCTTGCGCTCGCCTGTGAGCTTCCCCCAATCCCTCCACTTCAGCTCCTGCCGTCTGCCCTTGCGCCTGCTCCTGCGCCTGCGCATCCACCTCCGCCTTTAAAGCGGGTGTTTGCGCTGTTCGCCCAAAAAGCACCGCCGCAGTATCCATAGAGTTCAGTTGCGCGCTAGCAGCGCGCCGATGTCCCCGCCTATGCCCCGACGCGGCGGAACTTCCCCCTGACGCGGCGGAACTGCGAACCTCCGCCGATTCCGGCGCCTCAAGCGAACCGGCGCCTTTTCCGCGGTGCAAAACGGCGGAAAAGAGCATCCCCGCTTGAGTGGGGTCAAGCGCGGGCATTGGCGGACCAGCGGACTCATTCGCGGAAGAACGCGGGGAACCAAGGGGGAGGCGGGCAGCTCGCGGGGACTTGGGGGGAACGTATTGCGCATGATGCGCAGGATCTGTGTCGCCGCCGCCGCCCTCGCGCAAGCGGGGGGACGCGCGCTCGACCTCCGCGGAGGCGTTGGGGAAGGGACAATGCGACCGATCTTGCTGCTCATGCGCTTGCGCGCGCGTATTCTGCGCGCCATTCTTCCCCTGCGCAGCGTACGCCGCCCAATCTCCGCTCGTCTGGCGGTTTGACAGATGCAGCCTCCTCGCGCCGCCGTAAGCGGGACTGCTGCCGGTGGTCGCGGCGCCGCCATTGTTGGAAGCTTCATAGCCACGAGCCGAGGGTGATTCTTTCGCCGCGGCTGCCGCCGCTCTCGCCGCCGCGACATCCGCTAAGTCGATGGACGAGCGTCGACCGAGCCGCGTGACCGCCCCGCTTTGGTTGCGACCTGGCTGCCGCTGCTGACTCATCAACAGCTGGCTATGCTGCTTCCCCTCGCGCTCCCCCTTCCGTTCCCCCGCCCCCTGCAACATCCGCTCCCCCGTCCCCTGCAGCGGTCTCTGTTCCTGCGGCGATTGCACCTGATAAAACTCCTGAAGCTGCGCCAGGGGCGACAGAGACGAGCGCCGCTCCAGCCGCTTCGCTGGCGCGTGCCGAGGCTGGCTTAACCAATCAACGTCGAAAGCGCCTGGCCTCGGATCAACATGATCTCTCGTTACTGTCACACCCTCGCTGGCGCTCGCGCTGTAATCACGTCCGCGATGCTCACCGTGAAACGCGCCGTGGATGTGGAACCCGTTGTCCGGAGAGCTGCCGTCTTGAACGCCGTTAAATCCGGAGTCATGGAACCCGCCATGCTGAGACTCGCTGCTATAGAAATCGTTATTATGGAACCCGCGATTGTGAATTCCGCCTTTATGAAACCCGTCAGCTTCTCCCCTGCGAGCTTGCGCGGCTGTGAGTTCCGGGAGGTTTCGTGCGTGACGTCTTGCCAAAAGCGAGGACTGGGCTTCGCTACTGTTACTCCCGTCCATTTTCGCTACAAGGTCGCCTGACGTTGCCAGACAAACTGCGTCGTTACTGTGTGAGCAGCTTTACTGGCATAGTTCCTGCGCGTCGCGCGACTGCGACTCCCGAACGAGATAACAGCAAAAGTGAGATGCTTAGTGAGACGGTTATCGGTTTAGCCGCCTAAACCCCAACATAGTGTCAGATCAGAACGGGCCACTCACAAAAATTACGCGTATTGACAACGTTCTGGTCAATCGAACGTACAGTAGAGCCATTCGCGGAGATCATTGAATCATAAGGCACAGACCCGATTAGAGAACGAACTGGCAGGAAGCAGTAGCACTAGCATGTGATGCGCTGGAGGAACTGGTGGTACAAGCCAGATTTGATACTCCTTGTTCACAAAACCTGGCTGGGAAGGCATCGTGTAAGGATGGCACGCGATTCGGGAATAAGAGACGAGGAAAGGACGATAGGGTGATGTTGCAGGGACACCTGTAAAAGAAGCTGGGTGGCCAAAGGCTTGGGTTCGTCGCGTAGCGAAAACTCTTGTCGCGCAGAGAATTGCGACGAGACGTGCTTTGCTGTAGGAGTGACTCTCAGGCGGTGGTAACTAGCGATATGTTTGGCGCGAAGGTGTATGCCTTTCTGTCTGGGATGTGGCGAGAGCTGGCGAGGATTTCGCACAAGCTGGTGACAGTTTGGGTGGATGTGTTGACGGCTAGATATATCTCTTGGATGTGTGGATTTCGCTCAAGCTGAAGGACACGTCACGTCAATCATGCGTCAAAACCAGCTTGAAAAAAGCCACTTGGCCAATAGTCGGTACAGTTTGAAGTGCCGAGAAGACAGATACATCCTAAATTTGAAGTAATGTACCAAAGCTAGCAATCCAAGGCGGTCTGCACTGAGTTTTTGCGTGCGATCCTCATGTGTTTGGATTTCGAGTAAGCAATTACAATATTCTTGTAGATTTACAGTAGCAAAAACCTTAAAAACGTGTCTGAATTCAGGCATTTTTAGAAGCGATGAGAAAGTTGCCTTTATAAATCGTGCATGACCTGATACAGATTTCATGTTTGCTGACCTGACAAGACATCACACAGCATGAGGTTCTCCCAACCAGCCAATCAAGATACGCCCACCCTCCGTATCTTTCGACACCAAGGTGTGCGCGAACGGAGCAGCTCCCAACCCAAACCTCCCCCAGCTGGAGAAAGCTTTCGCCTTTCGCTGCGTTCAGGCCAGAAGCTGATTTGCAACTAGTCTACTGCTGTTTAGCCTTAACACATGGAGTAAACATAACTACCTATAAACGTTCTGGACAACGGACTCATACCTTAATGAGTGGGTTGATATTGAGTAATAATGCACCAACGTGAGTTTCACATAAACATCCCTACAGTGACTTATCATGTATGCCAACACCAGATGCCCATGCCTACTCTGCAAGTACCGGTAACTGGGAAGGAAATGGAACACAAATCTACCATCTTAATTGAGACAAAAAGTCGAAGTGCAGGTGCTGTTTGGGACAAAATGGCTTATCCCCCTTATGAAGCCACAACCTGCCCCCCATCCCCACCTCCTCCTTCCGAGACTCCTCATCTATCTGTCACTCAACAAAACTTCCTCATTCTCCTTGTTCACCGCACCGATCCCTTCCGGCCCAGTCACCACCGCAAGACGCTGCAGCTTCACAGGCTTGGTGGGGCTGGCGACACGAGAGGCAGCAGAGAAAACAGCAATCCTCTTGTTCACATTCCCTATCCCACCTGTCGCCTCCACCCCCGCCCCATTCCCTCCTGTCCAGGACCTCAGTACAGATCGGCCCGCACCCGCCCCGTCCTCCGCACCAGCCTCGTTCACAACCCGCGGAAACACCACCCCACCCCCAGCAGCTCTGTTGCTCAACCCCATGGAACGACTCCCCTCCCCTCTCGCTGTAATCCCCTCCCCAATCTCCTTTGCAGCAAGCAGCTTCTTACTCAGATCCTTCTCTCCTTCCAGCCTCTGAATCTCCTTCCTCAGCTCCTTTTCTCCCTGCTTCCGCCTCTCCACCTCCTTCTCCAGCTGACTCACCCGGCTCGCACTCACCTTCAGCTCCTGTTCAATCTTCTCCGCAGCAGCTGCTGCACTCGCCTGCATCTCCTCCTCTTGCCTTTTATACTCCGCAACCTTCTCCCTCAACTTCTCTGCCTCAGCTTCCAGCTGAGGCACCATCTCTCCCTTTTCACCCTCCAGAGCAGTTTTTACTGCCCGGACCACCTCCAACTCCGCCTCAAGCCTCTTCAGCTGCCCGTTTGCATTTGCCAGCTTCGCCTCGGCTTCCCGACGCCCCTTCTCCGCCTCATCAGCCGCTCGCTTCAACCCCGCAGCCTCCTCCACCAGAACCCTCACCTGTGCCTCAATTCCCTGCCTCGCCCCCCTCGCAACTTCCAGCTCCCCTTCCGCGTTCTTGCATTGCCGCTTCAGCAGCGCCTCCTTCCCCTCACGCTCCCTCATCTCCCCTTCCACCTTCTTCAGCTTCCCCTCCAGCCGCTGGGCCAGAGCAGCCTTCTCTGCTGCCACCTTCTTTGCTGCTTCCTCTCTCCCCTTCATCTCCCCTACCATCCCCTGCAGCCTCCTCACCTCCCCGTCCAATCCCTGCTCTCCATCCATTACGCCATTGTTCACTGCCTCCTCATCCCCACTCCCTGGCTCCGCCTCCCCAGCGCCCACTCCCATCCCCTCAACAGCAGCAATGACCGTCCCCATGCGCTCCGAGTGCCCTCTCTTACCCATCTCTGCAACCATCAGCTCCAGCATTTCAATCTCCTCACTCTTCTGCTGCACAGCTGCCACCAGCCGCTGCCTCTCAGCATCTCCCTCCAACAGATTCTCCTTCATTCCACCCTTCTCTTCCCCAGCGGCCCGCACCTGCTTCTCCGACTCCACTACCTTCCCAAGCAGTGCCTCTCTCTCACTCACCATGGCAGCCACCTCAGCTTTCATCGCATCAACTTCTTGCCCCATCCCCTTCCCCTCCACACACCCCGTGTTCTCCACAACTGCCCGCTCCTGCTGCTCCAAGATCACCACCTTCTGCAGCAAACCATCGCGCTCGCTTGTCATAGCAGACAAATCCACCCTCATAGCAGCAGCAGCCCTCCTCTCCTGCATAACCGCCGCTTCAGCAGCAGCAAGCTCCTTCTCCAGAACCGTCAGCTTCTGCCTCGCCATTCTTGCCTCCTCCTCTGCCTCTCCCTGCTTCTTCTCAGCCTCGCCCAGCTGCTTCTGGAGCAGGAAAACCTTCTCCTGAAGCCCTCCCATCGCCTCAGCAGCAGCAGCACCTGCTGCCTGCTTCTTCTCAGCATCAGCCAGCAGCTCTCGAAGCTGAGAAACTTCCACGTCGAGCCCGCCCACTATCTCACCCATCACCTCCTGCTCAAAGCGAGACCTCAAGGCCGCAAGCTCCTCTTCCGCCGACTCTTCTTCTGCAACCACAGCTTCCGTCGTGCCCTTCTCGCCCTGATCTGCCTCCAGGAGTTCCTCCTTCTCACCAACCAGCACTCCTACGCCCGTCTCCTCTTCCTTCTCCACCAGGTCGAAATTCAGTGCCTTGGGTGCTTCCTCCTCGTCCTCTTCCTCATCGTGTACTCCTGCCATCACCACATTAAGACCACCTTCTATTGCGAGCCAAGCAGGCGTACCAGCAGCAGCTACACCAACAACAGCTGCAGCAGCAGGAGCAGCAACACCACCAGCGGCTGAAGCAGGAGAAGCAGCAGCACGAGCAGCAGCAGGAGACTTGAACTCAAACACCCCCACCACTCCACCTCCCTCCCCCCCTCCACCCTCACTGCCAGTCGTCTCAACCTTCTCCACAACCCCCTCCCCGCCCTCAGCAGCCATAGCAGCCACCCGGCTCCTAAACCTCCTTGCATACAGCCCGCTCTGCCCAGGATTCGGCGCCAAGATCAGCCCAGGCGTCCCGCTTCCCTCCTGCTGAGCTCCTCCCATTCCCACTGCGATCACCGATCCAGAAGCCAACCGCACGGGGCTCTCCTCACGCTCCTCCTCCCCGCCATCTCCCCTGCTCCCCTCCGGCCTCCGCCTCTTCCTCTCCCGCCCCAGCTCCTCCCTCAGCGCAGCCAGCTCGCACTCCATGCGCTTGATCTGCCGTGCGCGCCGCCAGCGCTTGCCGTTGGACTCCTCCAGCATGCGCCTGAGCGCGTCCAGGTCCTTCTCGCGCTCCTCCAGGGTGGCGGACGCGCACAGCAGCTGGTGCTGCAGCTGGGACACCTCCGCCTTGCGCGATTCGGTGCCCTGTGGAATGGGACATTCAGAGAGGAGAGAGAGAATTTTAGACAGGGGTTGGGATGTTTCGACAGGAGCAAAAGAATTAACAAAGAAGGAGCTTACAGACTGTTGATGAGAGAGGTCAGGGGTGAGATGCTCGGATAGGAGAGCCCCTTTTCCCCTGAAACGGCTCGAAAGAATGGGTCTCACCTCCTTGGCGCGCTTCAGCTCCTCGCCCATCCGCTCAATGGTCCACTCAGACGCCGACAGCTGTTCGTCCTTGTCCGCCAGCTCAGCAAGCTGCACATGCACAGTCAGAGTTACACAGAAACATCAGGAACAGTGATGACGTGGTGGCAAGAGGACCGTCCTCTCACACACTATCAGCGTCCAGAACTTCCTGACAGAATTTCAGAAAGAGCATGTGATTCCAAAAACCAAGGCTCGAATGGCAAAAAACACGGTCAAGGAGTTGGAAGAGAGAGGAGACGGAGTCGAGAGGGAAAGAGAGAAGCATGAGGCGGAGAGAGGGAGAGAGCCTCACCTGCTCATCTGCGTCTTGCAGCTTGGCCTCCAGCTCCTTCAACCTCTCCTCCATCTGCGCCACCTGCTGCGCGCGCACCCCCTCCTGCTCCAGCCTCACCAGCAGCTCCCTCACCTCCTCCACCAGGGCATCCCCCGCATGCCCACTCTCCACCCCTCGCTGCACCGCCGCCATCAGCCCCTGCCGCTGCTCCTCGTTCCGCCGCCTCATCTCCCACTCCAGCTCCTTCACCCGCTTTTCCAGCGCCTCCACCTCCTCCTGCTTCCGCCGCGCCTCCTCCTCCATCCTCCCCTCCCGCGCTCCCATCTCCGCCAGTTTGCCTTCCAGCCCCACCACGATCGACCCCATCTCTCCCTTCACCTCCTCCACCTCGCTCCGCCTCCACGCCTTCTCCTTCTCCGCCTCTTCCCGCTCGCTCTTCATCTCCCGCTGCAGCCCCACCACCACGTCCTCGTGATCTCGCATCATCGACTCCTTCTCCTTTTCCATCTCTGCAACCTTCTCTTCAACCAGCTCGCGCGCAGCCTTCTCGGCCTGAAGCTCCCGCTGAGCATCCCCAGTCTTGAGCACCGCAGCTGCCAGCTCCCCGCTCAGCCGGTCCGCCTCCTCCCTCGCGTGCTTCTCCTCCGCGCGCGCGCCTTCCAGCGCCACCCGCGCCTCCTCCAGCTGTTCCGCCAGCTTCTCCGCCTCTCCGCGGCGGCGCTCCTGCTCTGCCGACAGCTCCCGCTTCAACTCCGCGACCCTCTCCTGAAGCACTCCGATCTCCTCCTCGTATTTCCCCACCAGCCGCTGCTCCTTCTCCTCCAACTCGCCCACCTTCGCTTCCGCCTCCTCCCGCCCAGCCCTCTCCTCCTCCGCCGCCATCCCCGCCTTCTCCGCGTCTGCCTCTGCGTTGTGCAACTGCCTCTGCAGTCCGTCCGCCTCCTGCGCAATTTCCGCCAGCCGCTCCTCCGCGCGGGTCACAGCCGCTTCCTTCTCAGCGACTGCCGCTCGTACCTCGCTCAGCTCCGCCTCCATGCGACCCTTGTCGTGCGACAGTTGAGAAACGTCGCACAGCAGCTTGTCAACTCTCGCCTGCATCGCCTGCTGCTCATCCCCCGCTGCATCCACGTCACCACTCAGCTTATCCACCTGCGACTGAAGCTCCTCCACCTTCCGCCCCATCTCCTCCCTCTCCCGCGAGATCTCCCGCTTCAAGCGCGCAACCACCTCCTCCGCCTCGTCCTTCCCGGCCTTCTCCCTCTCCACATCCGCCGTCGCAGCAGCAAACGCCTCTCGCACCTCCTCCACCACACGCTCCAGCGCGGCAATCTTCCCCCTCCCCTCCTCCACCTCCCCGCACGCCTCCGCCTTCTCCCTCAAAGCATCCTCCGCCCTCGCCCTCTCCTCCTCGACTTCCCTCCTCAGCCCGTCAACCTCCTTCTCTGCAACGGTGAGCTTCACCAGTATTCCAGCGGCCTCACTCGCCTCCCGCTCCACGCGCCCTTCAACATCCTCCACCACCTCGCGCAGGATCCCCATCTCTTGCGCCAGTCTCTCGCATTCCGCCGTCACGCGCTCGAGCTCGGTCTCCGCCTTTTCCTTCGCCGCCTCCATCGCCCAAAGCTCGCTCTCTGCCTTCTTTCCGGCCGCTTCAGCTGCCGTCGCTCGCTCCAGAAGTCCGGCGATCTCTCCCTCCTCCCCAGCGACCACCCCTTGCAGCTGCACTACGCGTTCTTCCGCCTCCCGGCACCTGCCTTCCAGCTTCGCGCGCGCACTCTCCGCAGCGCTGCTCTCCGCCAACCGCCGTTCCGCCTCCTTCGCCGCCGCAGCCTCCGCCGCTTCTGCCCTCCGCGCCAACTCCGCCACCTCGCTCGCGCGCACTTCCACCTCCCGCCGTAGCACCTCGATCTCCGCGCCCGTCTTCCGCGCCTCCTCCTTGGTCGCCTCGTACGACTGGCGCAGCTGCGCGCGCGCCTCCTCTGCCTGCGCCTCCATGCGCCGCTCCGCATCCTTCAGAGCCGCGCGCACAACACCCATCTCGTTCCCCATCCTCTCCCTTTCCTCCACCACCCCCTTCAACTCTTTCTCAAGCCGTCCCACCTTCAATTCGGCCTCATGGCTCTGCTTCAACACCCGTCTGCACTCCTCCTCACCGAGCTCCACCTTTCCGATCAGCTCCGCGTTCTCTCTCTCCAGCCTCTCAACAGCCTTCAGCAGTCCCGCCACCCTCTCCTCGAACTCCGCGCATTTCCTCTCCGCGGAACCAACCGCAGCCGCCACCTCAGCGTGCCTCCGCTCCTTCTCCGCGCGCAGTGCCTCCTCCGCTTCCCCGCACTTCAGCTTCACCTCCTCCAGCGCAGCAGCAGCCGCATCCAGCTCCTTCTGCAGTCCCTCAATCTCCTGCACCTTCTGCTTCCCCGCCTCCTTCGCCGCCTCGTGCAGTCTCCCCGCCTCGCGCTTCAACTCCGCAAGTTCCGCCTCCAAGCGCGCAATCTTCCCCGCCAGCTCCCCCTTCTCCGCATCCCTCCCCCTTACCGCCGCCTGCAGCTCCTCCTGCAGTTGCTCCTTCTCCCGCTGCATCCCTTTCATCTTCTCCTCCAGCACACACACCGCGCGCCTCCCCTCATCCTCCGCCGCTTTCACCTTCCCTTCCGCCTCCGCCGCCCGCTTCTCCGCGCTCTCCTTCCCCATGCGCGCCATCTCCGCCTGCAGCTCCAGGTCCGCGCGCTCCCCCGTCATCGCCTTGAACTCCTTCTCCAGCCGCTGAGCGTCCGCCATGCGCTGTTCCGCCAGAGAAACCCGGGCTTTAAGCTCGTCGTTCTCTTTACGCACTGCTGCCGTCTGTTGCTCCACGCTGCCGGATCCTGCCGCCAGTTGGTTCATTTGCTCCTCCCGCTCTTCCCGCTCGCGACGCTGGTCTTGGAGTTTCGCAGTCAGGTGAGCCACCTGAGACATCACAAAGCGGATCAAGAGAGAAAAGAGAATGTTGTAGCGCAAACTTAAACGGGAATAACGGAGAACAAGGAAACTAGTAGTGCAAACCGAAACGCGTACAACAGGGAGAAGAAGCAAAAAAAACAATCTCCCTTACGCCGCTGGGCATCACCAACGCACACCAACCCAACCAAAGCCAGCCTTTCCTCAACCCACCTGCTCCTTGAAACGAGCAGCGCTAGCCTCAGCAGTTTTGAGGATCTTGGCGTAGTCGCGATTCTTGAACTCCGCTTCCTCCAAAGCTCTCTTCACCTCCTCCAGCTCCACCTTCATGCCCTGCGCCCCCTTCGCCTCCTTCTCCGCGCGCTGCAGTCGCTCGATCTCTGCCGGCCCCACCCACGACCAGGCCCAACACAAGACACGCATTAGCACGGCAAAAGGGAAAGTAGAACGCGAAAGCGTCGAGTTTTCTGGCTTCGGCGATGGCTGGAGCTCCGGACAATGCGAACAGATCATTATGCCTGCCGGCAGAAAATGTCTGGTATTACGGAATGACAGAAAGCGGTTTGGAACGAGGAATGGTGGACTCACCAGTGCGCGCGTCCTTCAGCTTCTTGGATAACTCCTCGCTTACTTTCACCTTCGCTTCGTCCTGCTTCTTCAGATCCTCCAACTGCAAGTTCAGATCTCTAATCCTGATAGTTCCAAAGACGCAGAAATAAAAACACAGTTAATCATCAACAGGTGAGCCACCAAAGAATTTCGAAATCGTTTCAAAATTACATGAGCAGCGTTCCTCGCTCTTCTCGACTGGGCGTTAATGAGAAACAAAAAACGTAAATAGCAAGATGCCTGAGCTTCGGAGCAAGATGCCTGAGCTTGAAGTACGTACTGGTCTTCCAACTGGCATCGAATCGTCGCCGCTTGTCGCTGCTTGTCCACGTTCCGCTTCAGCTCTTCAAGGTAACGAGCGCGCTCACCCTCCTTTTCCTGCACACGCGACAGCCAAACCGAAGCAGCATGAGAAATAATCATCTCTGTGATGTCTCAACCTCAGTGCGTGCGCACTGTCCGCTCCTAAACTCACATCATCCAATCCAGAGCAGCGCAAGCGAGCAAGTAACAAGTGCAGGTCAGTGCTGCGAAACGATAGATCGATACATCAAGAGTTACTTCGAGAAATCGTGTACGCGTTACCATGCTCCAGTACCTGTTTCGCTATAGCCAACGCTGCGTTGGCTTCCTCGCTTTCCGTTTTCAACAGCAGTTGCGTCTCCTGAAGCTTGTCTTGAAGGCCCTTCACCTCCGCATCGCGCCGCTGAAGCTGCGTCATCAGGTTCATCTTCTCCCGCTCGGACACCTGAAGCTCCTGCGATAGTCAACGAGCAACGATTTTGCGATGTATTGCGTATTAGACATTGATTTCGACAAATAAGGCAGAATGACGTTGGTTTGCAGACTTGCAGACGATAGTTTTATCAATGTTTGTTTAAAACAGCTCCAAAGAAAATCTGATACCTGAGTTCGTTTTGAAGACTCTTCCTTCATGGTCTTTATTGCGTCGACGAAGTTACTCATTTCCTGAGGAAAAACAGCAAAACCAAAACAATACAATTACCATTATTAACCTGTGATTATTGCAGACACAACGACGATTCTTCTGAGACGTGACGTATGTGCTTACCTTGCGGACAGCATCTTGATCTGACTTGAGATCTACAATTTCCTGAAAGAGTAAAAAGGAAAAATCGCGAATAGTTACAGGTTAATCATTAAGAAAGAAACTTCATGAAAGAGCTCAAGACGCGACCAATACGCACTTATGAGAAAGAGTGGGAACTCTTGAAAACTGACCTTGGATTGCCTGATACGGATCTGCTCCAGGTTCAGGATTTTATCTTCTTTCGCTTTATTATCCGCTTCAAGTGACTGAATAATCTGATCCGGATGCCTTTCTCGCTTCGGCTCCGGAGTCTTCGAAGCCGGCGCGCCGAACATCCAGCCCGACATCTTGACGAGGTTCTATTTTAGTAACGGGTCCCTCAAGATATCAAGAAGCATAAACTTCTAAAGCGTATCCTGTGTCTGCATGCTCAAAATAGCTTCGCAGTCCAACGTGTAGACAATCCGAGTCAGGCTATGGCTGCTCCGATGCGTCGTACCTGGTACTAATTGAAGAAAACCTTGAGTAGTCCGTACGAAACTAGGGATAGGAGAGTCTAGGCGACGACGAAACTAGAAGTTAAACAGTATATTTTAATTTGGAACGTAGACGACGATACCTGAATGCAGAGCTTTGTTTCCAGAATTCTTCAGTCCAGCCTAAATGTGTTCCCTAGGCTGAATGAAATCTCCAGCCAGAAAACTGTTCAGGCTGATGAATGAAGCTCCAGCTTGGGTTGTTCTGGAGTTTGTTGGTTTGCTTTGTTGAACGTATGGTGCCGATTTGCACTGAAAATGTCAAGCTCTACACCTCTGACGGTTCATGACGAGCCGCCATCCATGAATAAGTTTTGAATCCCCGCGGGAATGCCGAGTCCGGGGAATGGCAGGCCACGGTCTGAAGAACTCTGACAGCAGGATTTTGGCGGGAAAGAGGGGGAGCCGATGCCTGGAGCTTTTTGAATTATCCTGAATTAGCAACACCTTGGAACACCTAACGCAAAAAAGAAGGTTCTGTTATGATAAAAATGCATTGGATGAAAGCCAGGACTATTGCCGGCTGTTATTTAGGTGCTCATGTGAGTGCCAGAATACGTAGACCCATCACACATGAAATATATTATGTAGCTCACAGAAATTCTCACTCACCACGAGACAACATGAACGCACATGCACAAAGACACGCTAGTATCATCTCATGCTTATTCCTGTGAAAGAAACGCTCGACAGCCGTTGAGGGTACACCTGAGGATCCTACATTAAACCTAGCGTGTACCATTGTTTCGCTTAAGAATGTGCTATGGACTGAACACACAGCAACTACGAACTTGGCCTAACTGCTCTCTTTCAGCCAGTAATGTCACCATGGCTTGTGCTGCTGCATGCCCACGATTGTGCACCGAAGAATTATGACTACCGTTTTAACAGCCTTCCCACTCCTCTAACTAGACTGCTCTTCAGCCAGTAATGTGACCATGGCTTGTGCTGCTCCATGCCCGCGATTGTGCACAGATGGAATGATGACTTCCGGGTTAACGGCCTTCACACACTCCTGAAGCTCGTAGAAACTGCTGTGCTCACTATAGGGTACTTCATACCTGCCCACAAAGGAAGGGTGTACATTACAGATGCAGTACAGAGTCGCAGAGTCGCGACCATGGGCATATCAGTCCTACATAAACTTACACATCAAACATGGCAATCGAAAGAATCATTAAAGTCTTACCTCACGATGGTGCCTCGCTGCGTTCGCCTGATGGGCCGAGCCTTCTTGCACTTGTCAAACGCCCACCCGGATGGTGAGAAGGCGATTATGGTGGAATAACGTTGCTGGGCAGCAAAAAAAAAAAAAAAAAGGTGATCATGGTGAGATACAGATGTAATTTAAAGCGCTGCAACAGCACCCTTTTCTTTAAACATGTGCAAAAATGTAACTTACCCTATAAACAGGGTGCAACATTTCGAACTTACCCTGTGGAACTTGGCAATGTGCTCGATCCTCTTGAAGCTGGAGATTGACCAGAGCGGCACGGCGTGCAGGTTCGTGGAAGCTTCCTCGCCATCCCCAGCCACCCACGCCATATCATCATGTGAGAGCCCTAGACACGCCAGCAGGCGCCTCTTCACCGCCCCCACATACACCTTCCGCTTTAAAGCCTTAGCTGCTTCCAGGAACACCTTCTCCTTGCCTGGGAAGTGAGGTGGGGTGGGAGGCATGCATGTATGCCCATGTCATCATCATGTGAGAGCCCTAGGCATGCCAGCAGGCGTCTCTTCACCGCCCCCACAGACACCCTTTTCTTGAGCTCCTTAACTGCTTTGACAACGAACACCTTCTCCTTGCCTGGGGATGGGAGAGAGAGGTTGTATGCATATACGTACGGCCATGTCATCATGCGAGAGCCCAAGGCACGCCAGCAGGTTTTTGAGAATTCTCAAAAACGGGGAAGAGAGAGGTTGTATGCATATACGTACGGCCATGTCATCATGCGAGAGCCCAAGGCACGCCAGCAGGTTTTTGAGAATTCTCAAAAACGGGGGAGAGAGAGGTTGTACGCATATACATACGGCTATGTCATCATCATGCGAGAGCCCAAGGCACGCCAGTAGGTGGCTCTTCACCGCCCAAGGCACATAGACACTCCGCTCAAGCGCCTCAGTGGATGTGGGGGTTGCACACAGGGATGAGTGGAAAGTCGCGATAGCCACCACCTGTGCTATGCCCCCAAGGCTCAGAGAGAGTCCCTCTATGACCACCTCAGGTGTCCCTTCACCGCCCTCACATAGAGAGTCTTCTGACCACCCCCGGCTTATAGAGAGCACACAAGGCAAACTGGCAATGAGCAGCAGGGAACCCATTGATGGTGTGTGTCTCTCGATACGGAGTGCTGTTGTTGAAGGCCTCTTTTTGAGACAGCCCAAACAGCTTGCAGAGTATAAAGAGCGCACAGGGCACAAAAGCAGCACCGAACGACGCACCGATGGTGTAGGTGCTGATGAGAAAGAGCGCACTGCTGTTGAAGGCCTCGTGAGGTACCACAACGGCTTGCAAGAGAGCACAGCAGCAGCAGCAGCAGCAGCAAACTCACCGATGGTGTAGGTGCCGATGAGAAAGAGCGCGCTGGTGTTGAAGGCCTCTGCTTGAATGGCCTCCACCACAAACTGCAGCGCCGCCTCCTGAGGAGGGAACTCGTACTGTATTGTGGGGTGGAGGGGGGTGGAGAAGGGTATGGATGGCAAGGGTTAGATTGGGTCTATCTGCTCGCCTCTTCTTGAATGGCCTCCACCACAAACTGCAGCGCCGCCTCCTGAGGAGGGAACTCGTACTGCATTGTGGGGTGGATGGGGGTGGAGTTGGAAGGGTATGGATCGAAAGGGTTAGATTGGGTCCATCTACTCGTCTCTGCCTGAATGGCCTCCACCACAAACTGCAGCGCCGCCTCCTGAGGAGGGAACTCGTACTGGCGTGGTGGGGTTGAGGGGAGGGGAGTGGAGTGGGGTTGAGGGGGGTTAGATTGGGTCCATCTGCTCGCCTCTGCTTGAATGAACTCGTACTGGCGTGGTGGGGTTGAGGAGAGGGGAAGGGGGGACGGAGGGTTGTTTTTGAGAATTCTCAAGAACACCCTACTGGCATGGGGTTGAGGAGAGGGGGAGGGGGAACGGAGGGGGGTGGGAGTGGGATGGAGGGGACGCGGGTGAAGCCATGGATGAGCGTGTGAATGCGTGTGGCAATGAGGCAGGGCAGAAAGAGCAGCATGGTAGAGAACAGAAGGAACGGGGATGAGTGAGTGTATCCATGCCTTGCTGTGAGAACCACGCAGGGAACATTTTTGAGTCGACTCAAAAGTCAACTCGAAAGAGCAGCATGGTAGAGAACAGAAGGAACGGGGATGAGTGTATCCATGCCTTGCTGTGAGAACCACGCAGGGAGGGAACAGAGGAAACAGTGGATTGCCTTGGGGTGGCACCGTAGCGGTAGGCAATGCTAAGGACGAGCGTGTGAAAGCGTGTGGCAACAACGCAGAGAAGAGCAGCAGTGCAGGGAAAAGAGAAAAGAGAACAGGTTGCATGCACACACAGGGCCACACACTGAATGCTGAGTCACCTTGGGGTGGCAGTAGGTGGTGTCGAGGATGAGTGTGTGAATGCTCGTGGCAGCGAGGCAGGGCAGAGCAGCCATGGAGGGGTGCCATCTGAAGTCGCCCGTATGGAGCACTGCCTGGGATGGGATGGGGATGGGGGGAAGAATGGTGGGAACGTGGCAGAAAGCAAGGCAGCAAGCACGGCAGCGGGGCAGGGCAGGGCAGACATAGAAGGGTGCCATCTGAAGTCGCCCGTGTGGAGCACTGCCTGGGATGTGTGGAGGGAGGAGGGGAGGAGAGGGGGAGAAGGATCGGTGGGCATGTCGCAGGCAGTGAGGCAGGGAAGGGCTGACATGGATGGAATTCAAGGTAGCAACGAGGGATTGCTGCACTGCACACGGGTGAAAAATGAACTGAAAGTCGCCCATGTGCTGAGGAATTCCTCAATGTCGCCTGTGGAAGGAGGAATTCCTCAATCCCTTAGAGCAAGGCAGTCTTATAGTCCTGAGGAATTCAAGGCACCTTGTTAGTCTCTTGCAATATGCACTTCACTCATTCTTCCTCACTCACCTGTCCATTGGGAGGTTCAAACAGAATCATAACTGCCCCCGGGCAGTGGTTAGCATCCATTAGTGTCACACCCACGCCAGCGATCTCTACCCGCTCGCCCACGGGCAGCTCGCAAATTTTCTCTTCGGGCAGCCCGAGACGGAGTTTCACGAGCCGGGCAGTGACTGCGGAGCAATAGACTGTGCCAAAGCGGAATGATTTGGTCAGGCCGTTGTAGTCTGGGGGCAGGGGGGGAACGAAACGAGGGCAGAAGGAAACGACGAGTTGGAAGGAAAAAAAGAAGAGAAAACAAAGGTACATAAAAACACCAGTGAAAGACAAAAGGCCGTGCAAGCAGATTGGCATTGAGTGAACGAGTGAAAAAGCGGCAGGGGGGAAGAGGAGGGAGGAGGAAGGGGGAAAGGGGGAGGGGAAGTTGGAATTGAGAGGAGACGTACGGTCAGCGTGGAAGTGTATGAGGAACCAGTGGTGGCAGGAGGGGAGGAAGGAGGAAGGGGGAAGGGGGAAGGGGGGAGGGAGTGGGGAGGGTGGAATGGGAAAGTGAGGAGAGACGTACGGTCAGCGTGGAAGTGAGTGAGGAAGCAGTGGTGGCAGGAGGGGGAGGAAGGAGGAAGGGGGAAGGGGGGAGGGAGTGGGGAGGGTGGAAGGGGAAAGTGAGGAGAGACGTACGGTCAGCATGGAAGTGAGTGAGGAACCAGTGGTGGCAGGAGGGGGAGGAAGGAGGAACGGGGAAGGGGGAAGGGGGAAGGGGGAAGGGGAAGGGGAAGGGGAAGTTGGAATTGAGAGGAGACATACGGTCAGCATGGAAGTGAGTGAGGAACCAGTGGTGGCAGGAGGGCAACGTGCGCTTGAATGCGTCCTGTGAGACGTGTGCATCAGACAAACACACATGCGATTTCTGAGACATCTGATAAAAGTGATATTTTGAGACATCTCAAAACATCACTTGCATCACGTCGCTTGAATTGAATGCGTCCTGTCAGATGTGTGCATCAGACACGCAACAAACACACATGCAAGTTCTGAGAATCTCAAGGGCCACAGATGCAAAAGCTGTTTCGAAAAAAGATTGCCTTTTAGCCGAGCGATAAACTGACCGGGAAAGACAACAAAAGAAAAGGAACAAAAAGGAGCGATGCAGGCAGGGAGGGGGGGGGAGGTGCATTTGAGTCGACGCAAAAGGGGGAGGTGCATTTGAGTCGACGCAAAAGGGGGAGGTGCAGACACTCAACAGGGGGGGGGGCGGTGCAACTGTGATTCTGAGAATCCAATGGAAAACAAGAGATTAAATGCTTTTCGTTTGACTCAACTTCAAAGTTCAAACAAGCACGAAGTCCAAAATTCTACTCCACTCACCACCAGGAAGTCAGTGCCTGGAATCATCTCCCACGCCTGTGGTAACGACACCCCACCTCTCCCTGAACACTAAGGTACGTGTGTTTTGGATTTGAGTGCACTCATGATTACCACAATACCCTACCGCACTCACCACCAGGAAGTCAGTGCCTGGGATCATCTCCCACGCCTCTGGTAACGACACCCCACCTCGCCCTCTCCCCCCGTGCCAGCCACCACCTCTCCCTTTTGACATCCCTCCTCGTCCCGCGCTCCCACTCCCGCCCCTCCCTGCGAACCTTCCTCCTCCCCACTTCACGCCTCGTCCTGCTCCCTGCTGGTGCCCACGGGAAACCTCAGCCAATGAAGCGGCTGCCCCAGGCGCTTGCTGTTGCTGGGGCCGTTGTTGCTGCTGACGTGGCCTGTGCCTGTTGCCGCCTCCAAAGAAGTCAGTGATTAGTTTTTTTTGGGCGCCAACAGCACCTGATAAACCACCTGAAACATCCCCTGAATTTCCACCTGATTGTCCACCCGCTTGCTGCCTTTCCTCCTCCGTTTCCTCCATGTCCTCCATCTCCTTCTTTCCCCTTCCCTTCTCTCCCTTGCCCTTCCCCTCCCGTTCCTCCTCCTCTCCCTCACACTCCTCCCCCCTCACCCCCACCGTCTCTCTCCTCCTCCATGCCCCCATCGTCATCCCCATGCCACCCGCATCTATCCTCTTCCACAACATCCTAGCCATTGCGGAATTCGCATCCTCTCCCTCCTCTCCCTCCCCTCCCTCTCCTCTCTCTTCGTCCTCCCCTCCCTCCTCTCCCTCCGCTCCCTCCTCCTCGACCCTCTCCCCACTCTCCTCTCGCGTCTCCCCTGTGCCCTTCACTCTGCCACCAACTCTAGTTCTCCACATCTTCGCCTCCTCTTCCCCCCTGTCCCTTCCCCTGGCATCGGTATCGGCTCCCATTTTGCAAGTCTCTGTCTCCTCTTCTTCCCCCCTGTCCCGTCCCCAGGCATCCAGGCATGCGTTGGAGTGCTGCTCGCGTCTGATTGGCTCCAGATGGGACAGGTGGCAGCCGCAGATTGGACAGTCCACGTCAGCCTCTTCCACGCTCCCATACACCTCCTCTTCCTCCCCACCATCCCCTCCACCTTCCTCCCCACCTTCCCCTCCACCTCCCTCCCCACCTTCCTCCTGGCCTTCTTCTTTCCCCTGCTCCTCACTCTCACCATCTGTGTCTGAAACCTCGATCACACCAGCTTCATCCTCCCCCTCCTCTTCCTCCTCATCCTTCTCTTCTCCCACCACCTCCACCACATGCTCTTTTTCCCCCTCTTTCGCCTCCTCTTCCTCCTCCTCTTCCTCATAATCCCTCCTCCCACTCACACCTCTCCCACTCTCCACCCTCACACTCACACCTTTCTCACGCGCCTCCCCTACACTGACCCCCCTCTCCCTCCCCCACTCACTCGCTCGCCCCTCTCTTGCAACATCCCCCCTCCCACCCCCGCACCCTTGCCCCTTTCTTAGACCAACACCTCTTTCCGCTCGATCCGCAGCAACCCCCGTGAGGTAGGAAAGTTCGTGGGATGTTTCAGAAGCTTCCTGTTCCCTTCGTCTACCGCTTCCATTCCCCGGTGCACCGTTCTGCTCCTCGAATTCCTGGGCATCTGAATGCTGATTGTGCCACGTGGCGTCCTCCTGACGCTGAGTCATCATCCCGGATATCTCGTCGTAGTCTTCACAAGAATGTTCCATTCCCAATGCATCGTTATAATCACCAGCTATACAATCACCTCCTTCAGAACGCTCCACCTGATTGGCCCGTTCACCCGCCTGGAACCTCCCAGAAGATCCGATATAAGCAGGCGTGGCGTCACGACAATGACCGCCATTCTTAATGCCATTGTCAGTAATACTGTCATAAGAATTATATATCTTAATGTCATCAGGAAAAATACTGTTAAAAACAGGATGGGTGTCAGAATCACCATCATTCCGTTGAGCGATTTTCACTCTCCTAGCCGATCTCTCGTCTTCACCGGGGTCGCAGGATGCAATCTCTTCTGCCGCTCGTTTCGCACAGCCGTGCGACGTCGCAGAGCGACCTACGCTGTGTCGCTCGTCGCACTGCGATTCGTCGAGGAAGCATTCGCGAAACAATGCGAGCGGCGAGGCGAAAACCTCATTGTGAGTAGCATCACAATGCGACGTGCTAGCGAAACGACCTCTGCAACCTTCGCCATTCCTGGAAGGCGACACAAATGAACGCTTCGATATCGGAAGCTCCGATACACCGTCAGGATGCTCACGGCTCGCTGCCGCGACTGAGTCTATAATTACCGCACCACTCCGCTCAGCAAGATGCAATGCTGCTGAAGTGTCATTCCTAGCAGAAGGACCATCGCTTAATCCATTATTCCAGCGACCACCGCTGAGCGAGGAGAGCTGCACTGATGCTCGTCGCATGGCGTCAGACTGCTTGCCTTGAAAATGACGAGGAGAATGAAAACGTCAGTGTGACGAATGGATAAAAAATCAAATGCGGGTGAAAAAAATAACTTGTCAAAGGTGGCAAGAGCATTTGGCCGAGTGGTTAAGGCGTGTGCCTGCTAAGTACATGGGCTCTGCCCGCGAGAGTTCGAATCTCTCAGTGCTCGATTGAATTTTCGACATTTGGCGTCAAACCCTCGCTGTTGTCACATCCGCTGGGGATTTTTTTTTGTTTGCAGCCCGATCTGTTCAATAGCACCACCACGTGGCATTGTGGAACCCCTTCAACCCACAACCCTCTTTACGACCTCTAGATCTTTCCTCAAAATCGCTCTGAGCAGTTCTTCCTGCCGCAGGCTCTGATTGTTTGTGCCTGGCAAAACGAGCATTAAATTAGCTTTATTCTATTTCGTCACTGATGCGCCCCCGTCCACCAAACTGGTTTCTCGCATAATCCCTCGAAAACGTCTTCTAGAAACCGTATTCGTCCCTAATGTAAACCGTTTACTTTTCTCGTTTTCTTTCCTCGTTTTCATTCCTGGGTATATTTATATCGAGAATCATCATGATTGGCCAGAGGACACGTGGCAGTAGCCTAGTGGGCGACCGACATGATGAAGACGAAAACTATGAGGGCGAGGACGAGGAGGAGGACGACGATGAGGGGGAAAAAGATGATGAAGAGGAGGAGGAGGAGGAGGACGAGGACGAGGCGCTTCTTGCGGCCGTTCAGAGCGAATTCGGCGCGCCCTTTTTGCAGAGAGACGTTCTCCCGTTGCAGAGAGACCTCCCGTTAGAGTCACACTCACAGAGACGCGAGATGCGCTTGCTGGAAGGCGGGGTGAGTGGTGATGTAATGGAGGAGGACGAAGATACAGAGGAGGAGGAGGAAAACGAGGAGGAGGAGGGAAGCGAGGAGATGAGTGAGAGGGGAGGGCGGCATGTGGAAAGGGCATGTATGGTAGATGAGGAGGAGGAAGAGGAAGAAGAAGAGGAAGATGAAAGAGAGGAGGATGAAGGAGAGGATAACGAGGAGGATGAGGATGACAGATTGCTCCAATTGGTGCGTCAGATGATGGTCGTGAAGCCTGCCACGTCATCAGAGCCTGCCACGTCAGCACTGCCTGCCACACCAGAAGTGCCTGCCACGTTGACAGTACATGCCACGTCAGCAACGCAGACTGAGGAGGCGGCAAGAGCAGGTGCACGGCGAGCAGCAAGCGTGCATTCGGACCAGGAGTGGGCGGCAGATGAGGTGCGGATGGCAAGCCGGGCGGCAAGTGAGATACGGACGGCAAGTGAGATACGGGCGGCAAGTGAGATACGGGCGCCAAGTGAGATACAGGCGCCAAGTGAGGTGCAAGCGTTGTCATTTGCGCCAATAGCAGGAACGCACATGCATGAGGCGGCAAGAGAGGAGACTGTGAAGGGAACGCAGTCGAGAGGTGGGAGGGGAGGGAGAGCGCGAGGTAAGGGGGTGACGCAGAGGGTTTTGGGGGAAGGACGAGAGGGGGGTGGAGGTGGAGGGAGGAGAGGGGCGGAAGGGCAGAGAGAGGGAGGGGGCGAGGGGTGGAGAGAGGGAGGGGGAAAGCAGCAGAGGGCGGAAGAGGGCGAGGGAGGGGGCGGGGGAGAGGAGTTGTGGGCGGTGGGGTGGGTCTTGTGAAGGAAAGAGGCAAGGGAACGGCTGTGAAAGGAGTTAGTGGTGTGAGGGGATGGTATGAGGCGGAAGCAGCGGAAGCGGAAGAGGAGGCATTAGAAACAGAGGCCGAGGAGGAGGAAGAGGAGTACTCAGAGGAAGAAGAGGAGGAAGAGGAGGAAGTTCGGGAGGAGGAGAGAGGGGAGGAGATAGAGGAGGACGAGGCATTGTTGGAGTTTGCTCGGCAGATCTGCAGCCTGTCCGTGCAGCAGGTGGGTGGGTCTGCCAAGAGGGGAGCAGGTTACCCTTTCACTGCGCCATCGCCATCCCAAGCAGCCTCTGGGCGGCAGGGTGAGGGGCAGCGGCAGATCTGCACCCTGTCCGTGCAGCAGGGGGGGTCGACCAGGAGCTACCCGCAGGTGCAGCAGCAGGTGGGTGGGTCTGCCAAGAGTTCTCCTTTTATGGCGACCCAGGCTGATGGGGATCGGGAGACGAGTGGGAGGGGGGTGGGAGCAGCCGGGGGTGGGGGGGAGAAGAGGGGGAGGGGAGGGAGGACAGGTGGAGGTGTGGGGAAGAAGGCGAGGGGAGGGAGAGAGGGTGAGGGCGATGATTGGCTGTTGGAGGAGATTGAAGGGCTGCTGGGAGGGCGAGAGGGGGGGGGGAGGCGGGCGAGAGAGAAGGGGGGAACAGGGGGAGAAAGGGGAGAGAAAGGGGCAAGAAAGGCAGGGGTGCGAGGGATAGAGGGCGGAGAAGTAGCAGGAGGAGAAAGGAAGGGGGATAAGGGGCGGAGGGAGGTTAGTGAGCTAAGCGAGGAGATTGAGGGGAGGGGAGTGAAAGGAGGAAGAGGTGGTGGAAGGGGTAGCAGGGGGAGGGGAAGAGGGCGGAGTGGGGGGGAGGCAGGAGTTGGGGCAGAGGTGGAGGGTGGGGGAGAGATGGGGGCTCAACAATCAAGAGGAGGGAGGGGCAGAGGTAGAGGAAGGGGGAGGGCGACAACTTTTGGTGGTGAGGGAGAGGGAGGAGAGAGAGGGGAGGGTGGCAGAGAGGAGGGGCAAGAGGGCGGAAGGGGTAGGGGACGGGGGCGGGGAAGAGGGGGGAGAGGAACTGAGGGGAAGGGAGGGGGGATGGAAGGGGCAAGGGGTAGGGGCAGGGGGAAGGGAGGGGGTGGGGAAGGCTTGGAGGGGGGTAAAGGAGGTAGAGGGGTTGTGGGTGTAGGGAAAAAAGGGGAGAATATGGGTGTAGGGAAAAAAGGGGAGAATATGGGTGTAGGGAAAAAAGGGGAGAATATGGGTGTAGGCCGCCAGCGTCTGACTGCTGCTGCTGCTGCTGCGGAAGGAAGGGAAAGACGGGAAGGAGGGGAAAGGGGGGAAGGAGGGGAGGGGGGAGAAGGGGAAGAAGGGGGAGAAGGAGGGAGAGGAGGGGAAGGAGGGAGAGGAGGGGAAGGAGGGGAAGGAGAATTGGAAGCAGTGGTGGTGGGAGGGTTTCAGTTGCCCCAGGCAGTGGTTACGGCTGGTTATGGTGATGGTGGTGGTGGTGATGAGTGGATGGGGGGTTGGGGTGAGGATGAAGAGGGAAGAGAGTGGGGAGGAATCGTGGCTATGAGTGATGCTGATGTGGCATTGCCGCATGCTGATATGTCATTGCCTCGTGCTGACGTGGCACAGCTGCGAGAGCTGCAGAAGCTTGCAGAGGCTCGGAGGCAGCTGGAACGGCAGCTGGGAGTTATTGGAAGCTTCCTCCCACCTTCCTCCAGAAAGGTGGCATCAGCAATTGCGCCTCCTCCTGCTGCTGCTGAGTTGAGTCTAGTTCCTATTGCTTCCACCCATGCATCTGCCTCTGCCTCTGTCTCTGCCTCTGCTGCTGAGTGGAGTCTAGTTCCCTTTGCTCCCACCCTTGCGCTTCCTGCTCCTGCTGCTGAGTCCATCCAAGAGCCTTTCGCTTCTGCCTTAGCCTCCCCTGCTGCTGCTGCTGCTGCTGCTGCTGCTGCTGCTGCTGCTGCTGCTGCTGCTGCTGCTGCTGCTGCTGCTGCTGCTCCTCCTCCCGCTGCTGTTGCTCCTCCCGCTGCTGTTGCTCCTTTGGCTGCTGCTATTGGAGATGAGGCTGATGCTGCTACGGTGATGGTGCAGCAGCACAAGCATGTATGGCGGTTGGGGGGGAGAAGCAATTGCAAGGAGCGGCAGATGGTACAGGGGCAGTAGTGGGGGCAGAGGTGGGGGTAGAGGAGGGGGCAGAGGAGACAGCAGAGGAGGAGGCAGGGGAGAGAGAAGCATTGACAGCTCCACCTGAACTAGCTTTAGTAATCTCGGGAGAAACGTTGGTGGTAACCGCAGCAGAAGATTCGATGGTAACCCCAGTGGTAGCAGGGGCGACAGCACTGGAAGCACCGCCACCAGCAGCGCCAGAGGGAGCACTGCCTGAACAAGCTATGGTAACATCAGGAGAAGCGATGGTGGTAACCGCAGCTGAAGGGTCTGTGATAACTCCTGGAAAAGTTTTGGTAACGGCAGGGATGACAGCACCAGTGGAAGTGCAGTTACCAGCAGCGCCAGAGGGAGCACTGCCTGAGCAAGCTATGGTAGTATCAGGAGAAGCGCTCGTGGTAACCCGTGCTGCAGACGATACGGTGATAACCCCAGTAGCAGGAACAGCAGCACCAGTGGAAGCACAGCCACGAGCAGTGCCAATGGGAGTAGCGCCTGAACAGCTGCCTGAACAAGCTATGGTAATATCAGGAGAAGCGCTGGTGGTAACCGCTGCAGACGATTCGGTGGTGACACCAGTGGTAGCAGGGGCGACAGCACTAGTGGAAGTGCCGGCAACGGCAGTGCCGGTGGGAGCACCACCTGAGCAAGCTCGTGCTCGTGCCAGCGATAGTGCTATGGTACTATCAGGAGAAGCGCTCGTGGTAACCGCAGTAGCAGGGACAACAGCGCCGGTGGAAGTGCAGTTACCAGCAGCGCCAGTGGGAGTAGCGCCTGAGCAAGCTATAATACTAGCAGGAGAAGCGCTCGTGGTAACCGCAGGTGAAGGGTCAGTGGTGGTTCCAGCAGAAGAGTTGGTGGTAACCCCAGGAGAAGTGATGGTGGTAACTCCAGCACAGGAAGGAGGCGCAGCGGCAGCAGCAGGAGCAGGGGATGCTGTATCAGTGCGGGGGGCGTTAGTGGCAACCCCAGGTGAAGGATTGATGGTAACCCCAGCAGCACTAGGGGCAGCAGTTGCAGAAGTGGGTGGGGAAGCCGCATCAGGGGCGATAGTGCCAGTCCCAGCTGATGGGGTGGTGGTAACCCTAGTTGAAGGCTCAGTGGTAGTTCCAGAAGAAGACGTGGTGGTAACCCCAGGAGAAGGGGGAGCAGCTGCAGAAGTAGGTGGGGAAGCCGCATCAGAGGGGATACCACTGCTGCTGTGTGCACCACCTGGAGGAGAAGTTCCCAGTCAGGTGGATGGTCAGGAGGCACCAGATGTTCAGGAGAAAGGCCAGGAGAAAACAACAGAAGCTGGCCTGGGTGAACAGAGTGATGGTGCAGCTGGAGGTTATGGGACAGGTGGTTCTCATAGTTCCGAGCCTACTTCCGAACCTCCTGCGGTCGCCGAACCTGCTACTGGTGATGAAGCTCTGGCTGCGGCCACCGAACCTGCTGGCTTTCGTGCGGCAACTGCTTCAGAACCTCCTGCCGATCCTTCCTTTCTCTCCTCTGCTGACGTGGCAGCAGTTAGAATCGCTCTGCAGGCCAACCGTCGGTGCCAGCTGGCTCTTCACGATTTGCTAGCGGCCGTGGAGGCTCGGGAGGGACAGGCTCGGGAGCTGCTTCGGCGCGTCAGAACCGTGGCTGGGTTCGAGACTCGGGCGAGGAAAGCTGCTAGAAGAGTGATCGGAGGCTTGGGGGGAGGGGCAGGGTGGGGGATAAGAGACGAAGCAGGAGCAGGAGAAGGAGCAGCAGCAGCAGGAGCAGCAGCAGTAGGAGCAGCAGGAGGGGGAGCAGGAGGAGCAGGAGGAGGAGGAGCAGGAGTATGGGGTACGGCAGGGGGAGGGGGAGGCGAGGGGGGGGGTCGCATCTACGGGGGGCATGCAGCCGAGATGCTTCTGGTGAACTGGGCCAAGCCGAGACAGAAGCGCGGGAGAAAACACAAGTACTCTTCTCTTGGATTCGACCCGGATCCCCATGATCGCAGCAACCTGGAAGCTTCCTCAAGGGATATGCCTGTGAATGAGGACCAAGGGGTGTTTGAGCGGTTGAGAGGGGTGATGCCGCTGGTGTTTCGCGGGAGGAAGTGGGGGAAGGGCGAGGTGGGTGCGTTGAGGGAGGGGGTGGAGCAGCAGGTGGTGCAGGGGATGATTGAGGAGGCCGTGAAAGAACGACCGGAAATTACCCTGGATAGGTGAGTGAGTGTCTGAGTGTGGGAGCGTGTGAATGAGGATGGGGCGTTGCGGGAGGGGGTGGAGCAGCAGGTGGTGCAGGGGATGATTGAAGAGGCGGTGAGGGAACGACCGGAGATCACTCTGGATAGGTGAGCGGTGTGAATGTTGCGGTGCATGTGTGAATGACAAGGCGTGTGAGCATGTGAGTGAGGAGGCGGTGAGGGAACGACCGGAGATCACTCTGGATAGGTGAGTGGATGAATGTTGCGGTGCATGTGTGAATGACAAGGCGTGTGAGCATGTGAGTGAGGAGGCGGTGAGGGAACGACCGGAGATCACTCTGGATAGGTGAGCGGGTGAATGTTGCGGTGCATGTGTGAATGACAAGGCGTGTGAGCATGTGAGTGAGGAGGCGGTGAGGGAACGACCGGAGATCACTCTGGATAGGTGAGTGGATGAATGCACGTGCATGTGAGGGGTTGGGAGAGGGAGGTTCCGAGTAAGTGAGAGTACCAGTCAATGGGAGGGGGTGGAGCAGCAGGTGGTGCAGGGGTTGATTGAAGAGGCCCGTGAAAGAACGTCCAGAGATCACTCTGGATAGGTGAGTGGGCGTGTGTGTGAGTGAGCGTGTGAGTGAGGGTGTGACTTAGGTAGAGAGGCGGTGAGTGAGGGGCAATCACCAACCCCAGGTGGCGCCATCCAGCTCACCGCAGCAGGAATCTTCTGAGTCGACTCAAACGTCATCCAGCGCACTGTAGCAGGAATCGAACCCTGCCCTCTCACACCAACACCGACACCCACTCCTCAATGCATCGTCCAGTGCATGCTACCCACACCCACACCAACACCCAACTCCCAATTGATCGCCTTTTCCCATTTTGCCCCCCCTGATTCCAGGTCCTTCCTCCAGTGTCACCGTAGGGGGGTCAAATCTCGCCAGCTCACACCGTGTGCTGCCCCTCTCCTCACTCCCCTTATTCTTCCACTCCCCAATACTCTTTCCTGCCAGGTCTCTACTCCAGCGAACCATAGCAGAGATCAAATCGCGCCAGCTCGCACCAGAGGCCATGCATGCTGCCGTGGCACGAGTTGATTGGTCGACAGTAGCAGCTGCGTTTGTGAATCCGGCCAATAGGAGCCTTGGAAGGGGGGTGCACCTCAGGCGTACTGCACTCGAGTGCAAATTGAGGTAACGAGGGGGGCTGAGTGCGGTAAATTGCGGTTGGTTAGGTTAAGTTGGAATCCGGTGAGGGGGTTTGGTCTAAGGAAGTGGTAGGTTTAGATTGAAGCTGAGGTAATTGAAGGGTGTTGAGTGCGGTGAAGAACAGTCAGGTGAATTCAGTACAGCACCAGGACATCGATGAAGAATACGCCAAGGAGGTGCCGGAGGGTAGCGGTTTGTGTGGGTGGAAGGGTGAACGGAGTGGTTTAGTGCGGTTCAAACCGGTTTTGAGTGTTTCCCTTGCGTTTCAGGTGGTTGAACGTGGACGACTCCAGCATAACGTGGGGAGAGTGGAACAAGAGGGAAGAGACTACGCCGGTTGGGGAATGAATCATGAAAGGAGTGGTTCAGTGCGGTTCATACCCATTTGAGTCGTTCTGTTGCGTTTCAGGTGGTTGAATGTGGACGACCCGAGCATAACGTGGGGCGAGTGGAGCGAGAGGGAGGAGGAGATTCTGAAGGAGGTGGCGGAGAGCAGAGGGCTGTGTGGGTGGGAGGGGATTGCAAAGGAGGTAAACCGAGAGAGTGAGGGAGGAGGAGGAGGGACGAGGACGTGGAGTGGGAGGAGGGAGGAGAGGGTGTGGGAAGGGAGAATGATGGGGAGAGAAGGGCAGGTGGACAAGGGGTAGGAAGGCAGAGAGGAGGGGGAGGAGGAGGGAGAGGAGGAGGGGAAGGGAAGGGGAGTGAGAAGGGGGGGAAGAGGAGGAGGAGGACTGCGCTACAGTGTCTGATGGGGTACCAGAAGTGGTGGAACCCCCACGTGGCGCGACGCCATTGGTCGGCAGAAGAGGACAGACAGCTGGCGGCGGCAGTGAGGCGGCATGGGGAGGTGAACTGGGCGGCGGTGGCGCTGGCTGTGGAAGGGCGGAGCGGCAGGGAGTGCTTGCAGCGGTGAGTGGGTGTGAGGAGGGGAAATGTTATGGTACGTAGTATGGTTGAGTAAATTCAAAGGGGCACGGGGAGGTGAACTGGGCGGCAGTGGTGCTGGCGGTGGAAGGGCAGAGCGGCAGAGAGTGCTTGCAGCGGTGAGTGGCTGTAAGGAGGTGAGTGGCTGCAAGGAGGTGAGTGGCTGCAAGGAGGTGAGTGGCACGTCCACATCCCTTGTTTGATGTGAGTCCGCACCTTGCCTCCTTCCTCTGGTATCATTATCCTTATCCTCTTTGTCCAGCTGGCAGCATCATCTGCGCCACGTCAGCAGAGCAGCGTGGACCCCCCGAGGAGAACGACAGGCTGCGATTGGCTGTGGGAGTCTTCGGCACGCCCCATTGGAGGAGAATCGCAGCCCTGGTGCCGAACCGCACCGAGGTGCAGGTTCGGGAGCGCTGGTGCAACGTGCTCGACCCGAACCTGAGGTTCGGGCCGTGGTCTGGCGAGGAGGTTCGGCGGCTGGAGGAGGCTGTGGGGAGGTTCGGACGTGGGGAATTGGACGAAACGTGGCTGTTGCTTGCTGGCCCAGATAACGGACTGCCAGTGCAAGAGGTAAGAACAAAAGTGGTTCTTTTTATACTGAGGCATCTTGAAAAGGGTACAGGACTGGAGCACCTGACAGTGTGGCTGTTGCTTGCTGGCCTAGAACGGACTGCCAGTGCAAGAGGTAGGGAAACTAACTCGAGATCAAAGAAGTGCAATGTGATAATCTGCTGTCTGCTGCTCTTTTTTTGTTTTTTTTTCCAATTCAAAGGCTGCGTCTGTAAAAAGTCGAATCAGAAGACCGTGCGAGGTGCATTTTGTTTACATCTACTTTCCCACGATCACTGTTTTCCTGCATTCGTGGCATTTGTGGAATTGCTGACTTGATGCTGCTACGCTGCAACTAGGTGACTTCTGAGTCGACTCAAAAGTCACCTCTTTCCCACGATCACTGTTCTCCCGTGGCATTGTGGCAATGGCAATT